TTTCATTTATAATGCAAGTGTAAATAGTCGAAACACAAATCCAAAGTAGGTATTTAGAAAAAATATTACAATATAAAACAATTTTTAAAAATTCGCACAAATGAACCCATTTTTGTGTTTTATTAAAACATATAATATCTAAATTGTATTAATTTCGATATGAAAAACACTTTCTCATTGTAAATATCTAATTTTTTCAGAGACCGATTGATATCAATATATATTTTTCTTTTTGTCCAACATAGCATACTCATTAGGATTTAGACCGATCATATTCCGACAGTCAATCTGATCGATGGGGTAAAGCGATTAGTAATCAAAAAAAAATGTTTGAATTTAGCGTGAAGTGTACCTGCGGAATCGGTGAAGCTTTCTTCTTGACATTCTTCTCCTATCGAAGTTTGGACATTTTCAGTGAAACTACTTTTTCAATTTTATTTTTGGTTTTTCTTTTATTTAATATACATTGTCAAATCAAATTTTTGGAAATTAAGCTCTTAAATTCTAAAAAATCTGATACTGAAAGCGATTTTCATGGTAGATCATATTTAAGCTACGTAAATTTTAAATAATGATCTCGTTTGCCATAATTTGAAAAAAATTGTATTTTTATTTTTCCCAATTATAAACTTATAATAAAAACTACTAAAGATATCGAAAAATGAACTTCTCTTTCTGTGGCTGGATATTAAAATTAACAAAATCGATATCTTTTAATTTTTCAATTGGAGCCAGATTTCTGGTAGTAAATACAAGTTGCAAAAATTAAAAAAAAAAACAATGAAATCAGCCGTAAATATTAGCAGTTTTACCTATCGTTCTCTTTTCGGTTTTTCCCAATTATTTTGAAAATCCCTTGGAATATCAAAAAAATTAGCTTTCGAATGCACCAACTAGAAACAATTTCCTTTCAGAAATGGTGAACACATTACACATCTTTATACATCTACACATTATACACCGGAGCAAGACTTTTGGTAGAAAAGTTGTTTACAGACAGAAAAAATAAGTACACATCATAACAAAACCGATAGAACAATAAAAGTTACTTATTTAATGGTTCACCTTGCTATAATGTATTATATTATTGTTGTTATGAATAATAACTGCACGTAGTTTATTGACATTAGCTTCTAATAAATGTATAATAAATTATTAAAATTAAATTGTTGACATTAAATATTACTCAAATTTAACAAATAACGAATGCATCAACGTGAATAAATCTTAAATCGCGGAACACTTATTAAGACGATTAATGCCGTCCATATCATAATCAATGATAACAGATAGCTACGTAGATAGATACGTTATCACCGATACTTGGCCACTCTCTTTCTATCTAGGCTCTCTAGATCGGACAGATTGTCGGAAAATAATTAGTCTAAATTGCTTTAATATACATATGCGTGTTGAACAAACAAAAAAATATCGGCATCCTAACCCTTTAATGTTATACTTGGGTAACAATGTATTTTCAGCACGAGAATATTGCGACGCGCAATACATCATTAAGTAGGTTTATACTATATCATTATTATGAAATACCTATGTAATATTTCAATTTATGAAATCATCCATGGTATATTATCATAATAATAAAGCGTTAATTTACGCGTACCGTATCAGTACTGCGCGTTAACGAATAATATACTATTAGTTATCGTTTTAAATGCCATTTGCTTGACAATAATTAATGTTGATTGCAGATTATAATTTATAATAATATTACTAGGTATTAAATAATAACAATAATAAGAATTGCGTTTTTGTTTTCGTACTTTTGATAATAATTGTTCATTTGGTTTTTGTCAATGTGCACAATCTAGATGGACACAACAAGTTATCCATGCAATATAATTAAACTGAATATCCAATATGTAACGAGCGTCACGGATAAACAATAAATAAACAAAATAATGCAGCAATTGTAGCTATTGTATACTCACACTATAATAACGTATAGTAAATCTAACTATTATTATTTAATGGTCAATAATTTAATTAAAGTTCTCACGAACAGCGTGAAATAAAAAACTAAACTACTTAATTCCTAATTAACTTTAAAAAAAAGCACCACGTGTAAGCACCATTGTACGTGGAAAGTTTGAAAGGTATATTACCTTTGATGGACCAAAACCAAGAAAAATTTTAATTTCATCTTAGTTTCTGCGTGCAACTAATTGTTTTGCTCTTTATTCACCATGGTCTGTGGAACGACTTCGTATAATGTCCGTTTCAAAAGAGAAACTACTCTTGAAATTCGGAACAAGATTTCTGGTAGAAAATTTGTTCACGGATAGAAAAAAAAGAATGCATTATAGTTATAAAACAAAACAATACACTCCTTGTAACTAGGGCCAAAACTAAGAAGGCAAGAACTGAAAGGCCCGGATTTGGACCTAACATTTTCAGTGGCGTATTCACATGTTTTGTTATGTTTATCTACTGATAGACATTTAAAATTTAATTGTTCACAATCTAAGGAAACAATAAATAAGTTACCGTGTGTAGGTTTTACGTCTATAAATATAAGGGTCTGAAATGGGAACACCACATAAGGGCGTATAGTAATTTTATCACCTGCCGTAAAAACGCCTAGTTCGGGCACTACTCGTTACGCTCAGAATCTAAAGAGGAAAAAAAAGATTGTTCTCTATTATATAAAATATAAAAAAAATTCGTATCGGCCGAAATTTATAGCTTATCGTGTTCTGATATAATAATATTAGCGTTGAATACAAGAATATTATATTAAATATCCGCGTGCCCATGCGATGCAATTTATTTTATGTACACCGTTTTTCTTTATATTATATAAAATGTATAGATACATAATGTTACGTTATACTGTATCCCGTCGACCTATAGATGAAATATTTTATCCGTCATTATTATGGATACCGTACTATTTATATATTTCGTAGGGCAGATTATACAGTTGCTACAGCGATACAGCTTATGTTCATATAACATTTATAGAGTTTAAGGGGAAGGAGGAGGGGGGGGGGGTTGGACTAAATCTCGTGATTAATAACTCGCGTGTATGCTCAGAGTATACCGCGGTATACTCGGTCGAGCTTGGTTAACGACGACGTATACATTTTAAGTTTTTATTACGGTAATCTTTCAAAGTCTCCCGTTTTATATGGGGTTTTTTTTCGTTGCCGTGCATGGACAACCAAAATGCTATACAGTCTAAATTCTATATATTACATAGGTATACTGGAAGACGGGTAGGTGGTTTATCTACATATTTAATTTAACCGTTCACTTTAAAAATTAATCAACTATATATACTTAATTATATTGAATCACGTATACTATATATTATAAATTATAACAAGTGCGTGCTTAAACTACAGAAGTATTTGGGGGTGGAGGAATTTATTGTTCGAGAAATAGCTGCACGCAGCACGGAAATTCAAAATTCTCTCATTTCGGGGATTTATAGGAAAATAATTTGAATAAATAATTGCAGAAAATACATATCCATAAAAGCAAATTCTACAGAGGCACAAACAACTGGCTCGTATCCTGAATTCACCTCTTTTTGTACCAAACACATTCACACCGACATTAGCGGCTGATGTTTCCATAACGGTTTAATAGGCTAAACTTGTAATTACACAAAATATGTATGTATTTATGGTAGATAAATACAGATCAGGTGATAACTAAATTTTATCAAAAAGTGTACATGTCTCTTTTCTGCAATTATAATAATTAATATGGAAATTCGTCTTAGTCCGTTTACCTGATAACAATAATGTCCAATATTAAAAGGACATTATACCCGCATTTATATTTTCTCAGTCCAACGACTGGGTAACATGCAAAAAAGATACTTACGCAGAATAAGTAAAACTAGTTTAATTTTGATTTTAGAGTAAAAGTACCAATTATGAAATTTATAGAGAACAATATTTTGGAGGGAAAGTCATATGTGTTATTCAAAATATATAGCTCAATATAAAAGATACTTTTTTTTTTTTATTGTTATTTAAATAACTGTAATTTTTTAAATAGTTCATAATTAAAAAAAACACCTATGACATTCCCTCCAAAATATTGTTGTCCATAAATTTCATAATAGGTACTTTTACTCTAAAATCAAAATTAAGCTAGTTTTACTTTTTCTGCGTAAGCATGGTTTTTTTTTTATATTACCCGGTAGTTGACCTGAGACAGTAGATGCGCGTATAACATTCTCTTAACGATAATTAAAACGTAAAAGTTATTATAATTTTTTGCATTCAGAGTGTAGGCAATCAGTGATTAGTTTTCCTAAAATATGTTTTTCTCAGAAAACGCAACTTCAATTGTACTTTAAAAGATGAAAATGTTACAAGCGGTACAAGTACTCTATTATACTACATTATTTAGAAAAAATCTCCTGGATTCCCAACAGGGTTCCTGGAAAATTCAAACGTAAACCCATAGTAAATGTCTGAGATATACGATAACATAATTATTTTTACTTTTGTTGTATTCACGGTTACCTTCAATACAATGAGGAAAACACGACTAATTACTACAACCCATGCTTACTACTATTGCCAGTTTAACGAATTCCATTGTAAATCGTTTTTTGATTGTAACGATCTATCGTTGCTTTTAGTACATACACTAAAATAGTTATTCAATATAATATTCTGTCCTAAATAGCCTACTTACAACAGTGGCCTTCTTATGGTATGAATTTTATCAAAAACTCTAGTTTTAGATTCGGAGCGTATCGAAAGATCTATTAATTTTACTATGATGTGTTTTGTATTTTTCTTATGCCTGTGAACAATTTTTTTACTGAAATCTTTTTCTGATGTATCAATTAGTGTAAACATAACCTAAGCTTTTTTTGATTTTCTAATAGGTTTTCATAAAAATTGGTGAAAACCAGAAAAAAATTATCGGAAAAAAACTGCAAATATTTATGGCGCACCACGACGGCGTAAACGATTTTATTGTTGTATTGATTTTTACGAACTATTATTTTCTACAAGAAATATTGCTCAGACAAAAAACGACAAGAAAATCTATTTTGTGTTACTTTTAATCTAGTTGGTGAGTAAAGAAGTCGGGTTTTGATATCCCCTGTTTTTTTAATAATTCAGCAAACTCGAAAAAATTTCGTGTTCTAAAACCATCATACGTATAAATTGCAAATACGTCATTTTCACAATATATGTATTACTCGCCATACCTATTTAAAAAAAATATGTATTTTTATCTTCTGCAGTTATTTTTATCTTCGTTACATATTTATTAATAATTTTCGAATAATTTTTATGTGACGTTACATAAAAATCACCAAACACCAAATTACGATTACAAAAAAATATTTGCGAATTTCACCCGTCTCGTATTGTGTTTTTTACGTTTTTCTCGTTTTCAATCGTCGCAATGTTCAAATGACGTTTGTCAGATACTTAATAATAACAAGTAACAAAATATTACGTTAGTAAATATAATCCATTAATCCGTCGGGATTGCTATCCCATGAGTTTTACACATAAACTATACGATAAGGTGTATTAAAATATCGAAAAAAAAATGTCTGTCGTTCGGAATAAAAGGTATTCGTAAGCTAGCGTACTAGCGTTTCGTATAATTTGTCGTTCGTGTATACATTGATAATAATACTTGTAAAAAATAGTCCCGCCAAATCGAATAAACCTTAAAATTCGATTAACGCCGTCGAGTCGAGTCAAAATATTATCCTCCGTACAAAAGTCAATTTATTGGACTGTGATCCCCCAGAGTAAACGAATGAAATAAAATAAAAAAAAAAAAAAAACGAGAATAACGAAAATCGCTCGGCGTTACGATAATATTGTTATCGAATTCACGTCGAGTTGATTTCACATGGAATAACATGCATTATACTATATAGAATATTAGATCGCACGTGTTCCTCGGAGAATTCGAGTAAGTATTGTGTGTACACATTATACTGCACACTGTTATTGGCATCACTCACTGGAATGATATTATATTTTCAGGGAGCCGCTTAAGAAGCAACAACACGTATATCATTTTTTTACAACTTAACGCGAGAATAAAAAAAACACGACGTATTTCAATTTCATAAACTGAATTAAAGTTTAAATTCATAAAGAAGTCTATTGCCGGTCGTATGTGGTAGTTAGATGTAGATTTCAATGTTGTCTGCAATTTTCCGGATCTTTTTTTATCGAATATTCGATTAGTCCGTTGATTTGTTACAAAAAAAAACACACCAAACTACGTATGGTACAATGTCACCGACTAATTTGAACAAAATATTTAATATCAATTTTCGAAAAGACACACATTATGTTGAAAAATTTTAACTTTCTTCGGAATTTTTTTTGACAATTTATGAAACAAGCAGCTATAAAATGTTTCATTACCTTTATTTTTTATCGGCTTCATTTTCAGGGATGAAATTACTGTACACTTTTGATTTGAAAATAACAAACTATATTTATTTAATATTCTATAAATAAATGCCATTTTAGTTATATTAACAAAATAACGTGTTGACATTTTAAATTTTCATCGAACGAAAATCTCGTTGAAAACCAAAAGTGGACAGTGATGTTAACCCTAAAAAAGGGTGAGAAAAAAATAACAGAAATGTAAAATTTTAAAGTTGCTCGTTTCATAAATTATCCGAAAAAAGTTAATACTTTTCGGATACGAGTGTCTTATCGAAAAGCCTCCGACATTCTCGCGAACTACTTTTACTGATACTTGAGGGGGAGAGGGTTGTAAATGATTATTTGCCTGAACCATAATAAGAAACACTGAAATATGTAATCCGCCAAAATAAATTAAAACGTGTTTTGGTTAGATATTTGGGATATTTACTCCAAAATCGATTCGACCCCGCCTTGTTATCAAGGCAGGACCTCCCTGTAAAGTTTTTAGAAATTGAGGGCGAAAAATCCTAATCCGAATTGTTAAAGTTCTAATAAATATTTTGGTTGAGTAAAGTTATAATATTATAATTGACAAAATAATAACGAGAAAAAATCGGCATTATCGACCATTATAAGACCATCCCGTCACATACCCAAATCCTATAATTCTCCCAGTAAGCTGTTCTTAATTACCAGTTTGACACGCCTTTTAGACTATTTAGAGATTCCACTTCTCCCCTCACTACACGTTCCAATCTCAAACGGGGACGTCCAAGTCGGTGTCTCTTTCCTTCCGGATTCCCTTCCACTACCATGCGTATAAATCGGTGATAGCAGCATAGCATAAATTATTACAACGCATAATTTATCAAACGACAATAATAATTATTCGGTAGGTAAAGTTAATTTTATAATTTAATTCCGAATAACGAGTTCATCTGAATTATTATATAACCGCGTTGAGTTAATTTCAATTTATTTTTACAAGCTATTAAATTATTAAATTTACAATTTGCATACACTTATTAACATTTGTATATACCTATATTATAGTTATTATTTGTTGTGTTTTGCACAGTATAAAGAATATTTTTTTTTTACTCATCGATAATATGTTCGCGGTGTTTCGAGTATGAAATAATTATAATTCGATACCCTCCCCCCGTGCTTATCGTCGATATTACTCTTATTTCCAATAATATATTACAAAACAAAAATGTACGTAATTTAGGTCAATGAGTTAATTCAATTTTCAAATTGACTTTGAGTATGTCTTACAGTTATGGTTGACAAACCAATGACTATTTGACGTGTTAATTCGTTGATTTCTTTTTTTCTTTTTCGAAAAACTCGACTCGGTTGATGTTATTAATCATCTTGCCCAGCCTTGATACAGTATATTAATATATGTGGTGTGTAACACACACACCTGGAAACGGTTCATAACGCGTGCCCGGAACCGTCAACGGGCGACCGCGACTGAGCGATGACGTAGACGCGATCGCTGGAAGAGAGAGGTGCCCGTCGTCGACGTCGGGGAGGCGCTCGCAGCGTACCGCTCGGGTCGCCGACGGCCGGCGGCTGGCAAACGGGCGGACGGACGAGGGTGGGATTGACTGGCGGCGGCGGCGGCGGCGGCGGCACGGGAACGTGTTGCTGCAATTTAACGATCACGGCCTCGACCCCGGCCACCGCCGTCGCCTACGCTGCCGCCGCCACCACCGCGGTTGGGTTTTCTTTTTCCTCTCTGTGGCACCGCCGATGACGCCGTGACGGACGTTTACCCGACGACGCGTGTATACTTCAAAGCAGCGGAACAGGAAGAACGGTAATGTCTCGCGGAAAAATTACGGCAATATTGCCATATATTCGCCACTGTGGGTTACCAACAAACTGTATTATCGAAAAGCTCCGGAGTGCGAAAACGCGGAGGCGGCGGACAACAGCCCGGCGCGCGTGGTGGGCCCCGGGGAATCCCGGGAGGGCCTGTATAAATTTCAACTCAAAGGTCACATTCGATGTGACGTTTTTGTCACAACAACATGAATAAACACACACGAACGAAATCTGGATATACTTCGCACCATGGATGAATTACTGTTATAGGCGGGAAATCATGAAAGTACAATATATTGTATGAGACGATTTAGTTTATATGTGTACCGACGCAACGATAAATTATTTCAAATAAAAAACGATTCTGAGCAGCGTTTGGTAAAAATCGTATTGATATAATTTAAGACTGCGTTATTTTGTTCGAACATTTTACCGCGTCCAGAAATAGACAATATACATATTTGATTAAAAATTCAAATTTCTACGACTATTTTTCAATGAATTCATTTTCGTGAAAAAAAGTGCGCAAAGTAAAACCAATAGATCTCTCGCTACGCTCCGAATCTAAACTCGAATTTAACAGAAACTGTCATTGCTTAAGTTTTTCAGTTTTCCCGGGTTTTTCTAGTTTCAAACTAGCAAAGGAAATCGAAAAAAATCTACTATACTTCAATAACTCCGTATATAATTTAGTACCAGAAAATTTTTTTATAAATTTGTATTCGTTGTGAAATGTCCGGACAACAAGCGGATTACAGACACAAAAAAAAAGAGCTGGGGATAGGAGCGGCCACTGCTGTAGAAGAGAAGTTAGAAAGGTAGGATACATAAGGTTATTTCATTCATATCTGTAAGCAACGATAAACCATTGCTTAATGTAAGTATTATTACTAAGTTTCAAATCTCTACGTGTATTTATAACCGAATTACAGCAAAAAAACTCCTAAAAATTGAAATTCCTTAAAAGCTCAAAAGTTTTTGGCGATAACACCGTAAGAAAGTAAATCAAAAAGGCAAACAAAAGACGATTGTTCTTATGATTTTTCGATTAAATCATTTTTTCTGGTAGAAAACGTCATCCGTGTTTTTATAAAATAATGAAATCGTGAAATTGTACGTTTTCCTACGTTTTTTCCTACTTAAGTACTTTTACTTAAAAAAAATGACGTAAAAATCGAAACAAGTTTACTAGGTAAAAACGTATCCACAGACTAGAAATAAAAAAAAGAGAAAATAATAAATATTTTTGTAAAACCAACTTACTGCGCTTGGAATCTAAAAAGAAAAAAATTGAAAAAAAAAAACAATGACTTATTTCACGTTGGGCTAAGTAAGCCGAATCCAAGTATGGATATTTTTGGAGGTGTGGTAAATTTGTTGTGTTATTTGTTGCTTTTAAAAAACAATACTGAGAGACTTGGGCATGTCATGCGAAGTAGCGTTATGTCAAAGCATCAATAAAACAAAAGCCAGGGAGAAAAAGACCCCGGGGAAGTCCGAAAAACGGTTTGGGCGGACGACATATGACAAGATCTAGAGAGAGCGGGTTATGAATGACGAGAGGAAAATATTCGGGACGCCGTAATGCGATGACGGAAAATAATGCTAATAAATGATGCAATTCACTGTGTTTAAAATATACTGAAAAATGTTAGTACTTCGGGCGGGAAAATTGTGCCCGAAAAGCTGATAACTACAACGCCACCGCAGTCGGACGTAGTCATGGATTACGGGTATCGCGTCCTCCGACGGTAGGCCCGGGCGAAAAAAAAAAACAAAAAAAAAACGGTCGCCCGCTTTTATTTTGTGACGACACTGCACCGGCGCGCGGTGTAATATTATTACGCAGATAAATTAATATCATTACATTATTATATTATTATTACCGCGATTGCGGTGTGCACAGCGGCCGCGGTACACGCGCGATCTGGGTCAGTGAGTCACGCGCACGGTTGTGGTAGGGCGTGCGGCGGCGGCAACGGCAGCGGCACGGGCGGCAGCAGCAGCAGCAGCAGCAGCAGCAGCTCGGGCGGTAACAGCAGCGACGCCGCACCACCGCGGCGCGGCGGCGACGGGTTTTACTTTTTTTGCGCCGTCCTCGCCCGGCCGGTTAATACGGTTGCGACGATCGACGAGCGCGGACCGTACACGACTGCGACCACGACGACGCACACGACGGCCGCTGCTACAGCAAACGATAATAACAATACCATCGTTGTTCGCGAAGACGAGACGATGACCAACGTTTCGGAAATATTGTCCTACAACAAATCGGCCCAGGAGGATTTCTACGCGCTGTTGGGATGCGACCAGACATCCACGGTGAGCATCACGTCTTGTCTATAACAATAGTTTAGTGTGTAACAACAGTAGTATTATTCCGCAGTGGCGGCTCGACAAACGGTGCGAATAAGGCGCCGCCTCGTCAACAGCGATAATCGCTAGTTTAATATTATAATAATAAATGCCGACTTACAACATAATATAGTACCTATTAATCGGTACCCAAAACCTTAAGTCCACAAACCGTACGCAGTTTCTCGTTTTCTGTTTCCTGTTCTTGTGTTTTTCAAAACATTTGTCTCGTCGCTTACGAGCCGCCACTGATTATTTCGGTATATTCCATCGTTGTCTTCGTATACTAATTGTATTAATATTTTAATGATAGTTTATATAATCGCGTCCGTGCGTATATAACCGAAGAGTAAACCATAGAGAAGACACGGGACGAGTGTGTGGAAAGGGTGAGGGCTGCGCGGGAGGAACAGGGGACGCTAAGGATTCGACTATAATTCGCCCGGGGATTACGATATAACGAGCAAAACGACTTTTCCAATTACTGCAGTCCATTTGGAACACAAAGACGTGACGTTTGCGATGTGGTTTGAATCGATGTATTCGACTATAATATCAATATTGAATAGGACAGTGGGAATTTTCTCTTATTATAATACGAAATTCAACGCAAAGTTTATTTCTCCCGTGGTAAAAGTTTATCGGGAACAATGCGTTCCGAGTTTCCAAGATTCGTGTAACTGGTACTTTTATCCATAGTCGTTGTTTGTTAATTGGTTTCGTATTTTATACGACTCTATGTGTTTTGGTTGGATTTAGATTAGTACTTAGCTAAATAGTAAATCAATAAACAATAATATCTTACCTGTAGGCTAAGTTGTATGTATTTGTTAGGTTCTGCTGTCAAAAATCTACACTAGTTTGATCCCGGATTCCTGCAGGCGTATTCGTCGTCTAATACCATAATGTTCATAACAATTATAATAGTCTGAAAGTTTAGAAAAACAAAACACAATATTACCCATCGATCCATCCTGTAATACCTACCAGTTTTTAGAAGTTTTAAAATTTACCCAAACAGATATTTACTTTAAAACGAGAAGTTCAGAAAAATAAAACGTAATGTCTTAAGGATAAAATGATCGAAAAAATCACTGGCAAAATTGATCCTAGGTCCTAAGTTTGTAAAAATATGTTTTAAATCGCTATTAAACGTTCGGACACAACAGCTATTGCACTATCAAAACCACTAGGGGCCTATCTCTAATGCAGCCTTTAATTTCAACGGCGGTTTTACGGAAAAACTTACAAAAATAATTTAAATTGAAAATTGATCTTTCTTTTCCTCTCGATTATACAATTTGACACAATTTACGAATGTCATACTCCCAGCTTGGTGAAATCCTAAGTACGCTACTGGATTCGATAGATTTTTTTTTTTTTTTCAATCTGCCTCTAGTTACATCGTATTATGCGTAAACAAGAAGACGGACAGCGGATAAAAAAAAAATAAACAAACAAACAAATACATATTATTATAATAATATAAGTATACACTCGATTTTAACACTCATATATTATAGGTGTCTATTATAAATACTAAGCAAACATAATAATATTGACTGTTATAATATTATATTATCGTGTTTACACATGCCTAGCTACCTGTTCTGTGGCGCGTGCGGACGTTCGGTTTATTTAATCGCCCGGCCACGGTATTTATAGGTATCGTGTCGCTCGTAAATAACAGTAATATTATCGTGATAATAGAGTACATCATATGTACGTGTGGAACTGCCGACGTAACGGAAAACGAAGAGATATTTCAGATATTTGGATCCGCAAACACCGTATATAGTTATAACGTATTATACCGTACCTATGTACCCGGTATAATTTCATTTTTTTTTTTTTTTTGTTATAGAAACGGAGAACTGCTCAGGGTCACCGCAAACTATACATCCTAACATTATTGTTATACGGGAGGGTTCAAGTATATAGCCTATATGTGTGTACAAGGGAAAAGCTTTTGTCCACATGTCGTTTTTTTTTTACACACACGCGCACACATCAAAGCGAATGTCGTTTATACGAGCGCGAGCACTATTTCTAGGTATAAAATATATTATTATCCCGCGTAATTATTATTATATTTTACTGGCATAGTATATTACAGTCTACAATATAATACGGGCACGGTTCAGTGGCGCAACGTACTGCAGAGACGAATGGTGCGAGTACATATGACGCCGGGGAAATTTGAATAATTTTTTTTTTATCTACACTTTAATATGTAAAACAGTAAAATCCGTATGTGTTTGTTACGCGTTAATCCCATCAGCGACCTCGACAAATGTTTTTTGACAGACCGTTTATTGCAGAGGAAGGACACGGGCTACTGTTTACCTATAGTACTGACATTGCCAAGTCTTCCCCGTTTTAAATGTCTGTTGGTCATCTTAGATTGTTCATAAACGCACAAGGGCTCATTTAGACGGAAGGAGCGCCAATTTCAAAAAAAAAAAAAAATGAACTCCTTTTAATTAGTGACGAGAGAGTACTTAATTCAGACACCAAAATTACAATTGATCTACGTAAAATCGGTACCAACATTGAAAACCCGATCTCTTAAGTATATTCGGATGTGTGATTGAGCACGAAGATTATCATTATATGTGTAACTGCAAAATTTTAGTCGCTAGAAACAATAGTATTGATTCAATTATAAAAAAAACCTCACAAACCGAAGATTTTCAACTGATTTGCTATTTAGTTTCAAAAGAATACAATTTCTCGGCATGATATTATTCGCAGCCTCTATAAATAAAGCACAGGGATAAACTTTTAAACGTATCGGAGTCGGCTCAAAAGAAGATTGTCTTCCCCGTGGATATGTCACCTTATCTAGATTAGGTTGCGGAGAAACCCAGTAAATATCAAAATAAGAAGAAAAAAAAACTGAAAATCCGATTTTCGCTGAAGTACTTTTCTTTAAACTAATTGTTTAAAATATCCCGCATTCGTAAAAAAAATACTTATGGACTCCCAGTTATTTATTATTATTTTTTTTTTTTTCATTCAATATTGTGCATGGGAAACGCCATGTAGGACAGCCGGTTATTACAGTTAGGTATTTATTATTGTGTTTATAGTTATTCGATTTTGTTTTTTTAACGGTGTTCGAGATGTCATCACTTGATCGGTGGTACCCACAAAAATGTCCGATAAACTATGTAGCGATCTAGTGTAATAAGCTACTGAGTAGCTGCTATTTCCAATACACACACACACACACTTGTTGCGCCACTGGAACCGTTTGATTAAGCTTTTTGACAGCCGGTATGAAAAAAAAAATTAATATATGAATATACATACGTATTTTTTTTAAAAAGTATAAATAATATTTCCTCCAACATGACAAAAAAAAAAAAAATATATATATATATATATATATATCGGTATACCTTTGTCGTGCAACTCGACTGAAATATTTAGATAAAAAAAAATAATTATTATTCATATTCGTACAAGCACAACGTTTCAAACGTTTTTTTTTTTTTTTCAATTAATTTCCATTATCATATCGTAGCTGCTGCTGCTGCTATTGTCCACAACGGCCAGCGGCTCTCTGCCAGAACTAAACATAATAATATACCTATATATGGTGAAGTAGGAAAGTATTGGTATTACCATACCTATACATAATATTCAATAATATGTACAGTATATACCATTATATATACCCGTTCTCTAAAAAATATACGATTTATTTGACGCGACAGCCGTTTTTTGTTTATTAAAATGTTTTTTTTTTTTTTTTTTTTTATGTCGTATTTGAATTTTTTCTTTTTGTAATATATACGTAATATAACGTTAAGTATACCTATATGTCCTATAGTTTCTATAGAGACTAGGTATCTATTATATATTATAATATATTATCAGTTAATTATGTTGCGGAAAAATGGGAGTATAAACAAATTTGTTTTTAATAAATACTTGCCTTATATATTTATTTTTTCTTAACTGCGGAAGATGATGTTTCGAAAAAACTTCCAAGGTTATATTATATTATAGGTCAGCTATGATTAGACTAAAAAAAATAATACTTCGTAAGGTCAAATCGTATTATTTCTCACTGACAAAATGTTTGACATGGAGATTTCAACATTTATGTTCTGTATACCTAAAACATTCGAAAAATTACTTTCACCAATTAATGACGTTCCGAATTCGATATTATAAAATATAAATAGTTGTATTATTTAAACTTCTGCAACAATGTACAATTAATCAATACAAATACTAAAACTTATTATAATAAAAACTATACTACCTTCTACTAAAAAATTTAAGCTTAAACGGTTTTTAATATATTTTGTTTTACTATTTTTTAGATTTTGAACGAAGGTTCTTTGATGTGTTTTTTTTCCTCGGTGTATGAACAACTTTTCTACCTAAAATTTTGCTCCAATAAAAAATGACAAGAACGCATTTTTACAATATTTTGTAGTATCTAGTTGGTACATTTAAAAGGTCATTTTTGTAGTATAACTCCACGTATTTGGAAAAATCGGAAAACTCCGCATAAAAAAAAGACGGACATACTTTGCACGTGAGTGCAACCACTGTTGTAGGTGGGAAGTTGAGAAGGTAGGATAGAGATGGGAATTTAATATATATCTGTGAGCAACGATAAGCTAATAAAAAAACGATTCAGAGCGAAGTTCAGTTGATAGTGCTGCTTTGTCAACAATATATTATGGTAAAATGATTACAACGATGTTCTATCTCGTGCCCTGCGTTACCTGCGCTAATTTGTATTATTATTACATTACCTATATTCATTTTTTGGTTTTGGCTATGTCAGAATTGAATGAAAACAAATAGGTTGAAAGTGGATAGTCCACCTTCGGCGAAATAAATGTGTTTTATTGTGAAACTTTAATAGGGTAAATATTAGTAATAATAAAAATGTAATAGTTTTCTTTCCCGTGACAGTAAAATTATCATCCATAATCAACAAAAATAAACAAATAAACAATTAGATATCCAATCAAATATAAAAAAACCTCTGTTTTACCCCTATATGAGTTGAATTTTCAAAAATCCTTTCTTAGCGAATGCCTACGTCATAATAACTATTTGTGTGCCCAATGTCAGTCTAGTCCGTCCAGTGGTTTGGGCTAGGCGATGATGAATCAGTTAGTCAGTCAGTCAAGACATGTTATTTTACATGTCATATAATGGTAAAATGGTTACAACAATGTGCTTTTCCATGACAACAATGATAGTTTAAAAAAAATTAAAATAATAAAAACTTAATAATAACAATAAAAATAAATAAAAACGTTTGACAATGACAACCTTATTTTTAATCTTTCAATCTTTTTAATTAAAGTGTTCCTGGTTATCTCGAAAATTAATGAAAATTACAAAAAATGACCTTTGTAAAGTACCACCCAGAAAATATTTCCTTTCAGAAAATACTACATAATCAAAGTAAGTTGTCTGGTAGAAAAGTGTTCACATATAAAAAAATAATAATAAAATGAATATCATTGTAAAACCAATACATTTGTCGCTCTGCTCAGAATATAAAACAGATAAATTTACTGCGTTAAATTAAAAATTTCATTATTTTCGATTTTAGTTTTTATCAAAAATCTTATTCGGAAATTCGAAATGTATAGAGTGGCATGTTTTCTGAAAGAAAATTTTGTTTAATTGATTTATAAGAATAAGGTCATTTTTTTTATTTTTAAATTAGTAAATATAATGATTGAAGTAAATCGGAAAAATGTATAGGAAAAACAAATAAATTTACGACATTAAGGTTCATTATTTTTAAAAAATAATCGTAAGACTGGAAATTATCATAGAATATCAATAACGGTTCTTTTTTAGACGTGATATAGTTTTGAATACATTGAGTACAGTGTTCAGTTATTTCTAGACATCTAACATTTTGAATTTTTTTAGTTTTAATGTGGTTTTATATAGGAAATGTTTTTTTTTTTTTTATCTGAACAGAAATATTAACAAACGTTATTCGAGTTTCATCATAAGCTGTACTTAGTGTTCAAAAATAAAAATCGAGCGTAACAAAATTGTTTTTTTTTAATACGTCTTTTAAGTTCAAATTTTAATGAAAACAATAAATATCACTCAGGATTTCGTGTAATATTTTTCAATTAAAGTAAATATTATTATTCTTTATCGGCAGTACTATTGCTCTTTTGTTATTTTAAGACGCTGCACATAAGACAATATTTGGTTTTCTTGTACATATTATTGTTTTAGATTCTGAACTGAATCTTCGATTTCTTGTCTGTTCTTGTACTGTAAGAACCATTTGTTCGTATTATTTTGTTTAGTGGAATTTAGATAAAGTACACGGTGAATTTACCTTTTTTTCTACTTAGAATAAACTCGTACTTAAAAGCGTTTAATAAAAACCCCGGAATCGTGTTTACACCGGCTGATTAGTGTAAATATATGTACTTATGGAAAAAAAAAAAAAAAAGAAAAAAGGATTATTTCCAACAGTCTTACTGTTTTGCAAAATGCACTAAATCTACGCGGAACATTCCGTCGTATTAATAATGTTGTTATAATTACGGCGGTGTTCCGTCGTAATTACATAACGATGCAATTTATTTGTTCTCGATATTATTAGGTAGGTAATGTCGTTACACAATGCTACAACAGAAGTCATTTACAAATTACACGGCATGCATAAGTGTTTGTTACTGCAGTAGTAATTTAATATATTCCGAGAGTAGAGACAAATTAAGGAAAGATTACGTAATATCGTGTTATGTGCGCGACGACGACTGTATAATAATTGTATTATTTATAATTTGTATTATAATACGGTCTTCAAACAATATTCAATATTCAAAATAATGGAATAATACCGCGGGTACCAATACCTACGGGCCGTATTAACAATAATACATTACCGCCTTCACACGGCGTCTATAGTGCGCGTTAACCAAATTACCGTTTAGTTAATAGGTATTGCATTTTATAAAAAAAAAAAAAAAAAATGCACGTTTAATACAGACATTGTCTCCGTGCGTTTTCAAAAATATATTCGATTTTTCGTGTCCGATTTACTCCGACTCCGGTATTAAGAGAACGCACGTTAACGATAAGTGGATTGATATTTTTAACAAGAATCGAATATCAAATTATACTTAGGTGTATACAATTGTAATATGTTAAACGTATAATTTATATTATATTTTTTTTCTTTTTTTTTTTCTTTTTTTTTAGTTGATACGTGGTTAATTCTGATATTCGTGTTGTATACAAACATCCGCACAGTAATTCACATTAACTAAGGTTATTTACTGCGTATTAGCGACTGCGTAACATGAACGTGGTATTATTTAGTGGTACGATACTAAATTGAAAATTCGTATTCTCGGGGCATCATCGTCGGAAAAAATAATAATATTGTGATATAATTATTCAATGTGAAATATTCAGATTTTAATCATACGACGCCAAATAGTGACTGCAACAACAGTAACAGCAGTAAATAATCATATAAGTGTAAATAATAAATGAGCGCAAATCGTAATGCGCGCGCGAGAAATTCATTTTGATCGAATAACGCACACAGTTTATTAATATTTTTTTAATATTTCATTTCTTTTTAAACACTTTTGACAGTTTGGGTTTTTTTCTCCTGCGTTTGTCCGTATACATAAAAAAAAAAAAAAAAAAAAGGAAGAATTAATAAGTATTTTTTTTTTTTACAAATCGTAAAACTCGATTATTATAATAATATTATTATTTAAACACCAAAGAATATTATAATTTAATCGCAATAATAAAACATCATAATAAATCATAATCAAATAGCGATGAAAGTTATCGACGACGCGATGACGTTCGAAATTCTTAAATAGCTCGAAACGAAATAATAATATTTAAAAATTAATACTCAATTCCAAATGATGACAAATGAACCGTGTTAAATTCACCCCTAGAATATTTGAAGGTGGGGTAAATGCAATAATTACGAGACAGTATATAAATCTTCATATTATACATGTCGACACCCATTTAGGAATTATATTGATATGAGAAAGAAAATACGATGTGCCTACTTAATTTCGTCTATAATATACTTATCACTGATAGAAGTGTAATTATTCACAATTTTGTATGACGTATTCCCATATAATATGTATTATACGTCATAAATATAATAGGCAGATATATTTTATATATTTTCTATAAGACACTATAAGAACAGTATAGATAAGGAAGTAATTTTTGTTTATCGGTTGATTTTACGACAAATTGCATCAAAACTCAATATTCAATTTCAGACGAAATTCTTAAGCTATGACTATTATTATATCACGAGTATTACTCGATAGATTAAAATTCAAAAATTGATATTATCATATTTACTCTCTATCACTGCAGCTATATAAATATGTTTTTGGTTTTTTGAATGAAATGATGTCAAAATGTTATAAAATGAATGCACGGATACGTAAATGTATAATACCCGAAACACTTGTTGCTCATTCATTAAACGCGTGCGTTTAGTATGTGTTCTATTCAAAAACTGTTTGGCTTTCCTACATATGTATATAATATAGTCTTTTCATCATTCAGTCAACAATCCATATCTATTCAAAACTATTTATAAAATATCGCAGGCGTACAATAATAACTTGCATGATTTTATGTGCGTATATGCATAATGCCTTTTTCCAAATCTTTACAGTGAAATTTAACTATAGTGCAAACGGCCCGTTTTAAAATAAACGAAGGCAAATAATTATAGTGTTGGGAGAACACTATACTCCCGCATCTACTGTCACAGTTTAACTGACGAGCAACATAGCAAAATTATCTTACTTCGAACATAAATTGCGGCGTTTAGATTGAAATTGGAATTCAAACACAAATAATACAATTTAAATAGGATAATATTTTCGACAGTTGAACGCACGTAGCTTTTTTCTTAAAAATTGTTACACAATAAAGTTATAATCCATTATAGATGTTGTTATTGTTTTTTTTTTTTTAAAAAAGAATCGTCACTTATTTATATGACAATTTAAAAAAACAACAAGTTCAGACCTCAAAATATTATCCTCTTTAAATTTTTTTTTGTGTAAATTTGTGTTTAAATTTCTACTTCGACCTAAACGCCTCAATTTATGTTCCAATTAGCGTAATGTCGCTATATTTCGTGTTAGTGGACCCGGTATTTACGAGTGTAGTTTCCTCATATTATTAACTCTTGTTATCAAACGTATTTGTCCGACATTCTATATTAAATACGACTCTATATCAAATGACAATAGTACGGCGGGAAGTTTGCAAAAAGAGAAGGTGGGAATTAAGCTGTATAAAAGGTTAAGAGGTAATATTCAAATTGAGTTATTTGATTATTATTTAGCCGTGTATTCGAGCTTCCCCCATACACTAGAAAAAAATAAATAAAACTACATAATTTCTAGATTAAACAAATATAATATCCGTATACCGGTCGGTCATTCTCATATGCAGTTTATATTACTATTTGTATATAGGTATATAATTATAATGTAAAACATTAAATCATTATGTTGAACATGTATATAGGTGGAACAAATAAGCACGGAATATAAACTGAGAGCTCTCAAGTATCATCCGGACAAAAACGACGGTGACAAGCAGGCCGAGGAAATATTTCAAAAACTCAATGTAAGAGACTTATACACCTCTATGTAGTTACACTCGTAATGGTTACAAAAATACAATTATAATTTTTGTTGTTTCGGTCATCCCAGGAAGCCAAAGATACGTTGTGCGATCCGGAAAAACGTGCAACGTACGATAAATGGAAGAACAGCGGCGTGGCCGTCAGCTACAAGACTTGGCTGAGCAATAAAGAACACTTTCATCAGGTATATATTCGCGTATTAAATTGATAAAAGTATTTCACCAGTTACGACACGTATAAAATCTCGCCCGAGTATACTGATGATGAATTATATATTGTCGTACGTAATAGGCCAGTTGTAGTGTTAGAGATTTATATCTAATGCCCCGAAAACCCTTTTAAATTAGCAAAATTACTTTAATATGTACTTAAAAAAAATCCTCGAAACGTTTAAATTATTTAATAACATCAAAATTAAAATTATAATACTCATAAAATTATGTTCAACCATGTGATATATAACTGTAGTTAAGATAATCTCAAGTATACCATTACAATTATTGATCGGTTCACAATTGGCCTACACTGTAATAATCTCATCGGACAACATTTTAAATTACGAAATATGTTTTTATGTAATAATTTAACATTATAATGAAATTTCAATACCATATAAATAAAATAATAAAACATTTTATTGTTTGAGTTAAGATATCTAAGATGTATTTTCTCAGAAACACTTTTTCGATTAGTAAAAATGCTCCGATTTTTTTCATGTCGTAAATGAATAAATGCAGAATTTTTGTTCGACAGTCATTTATTTGAAAAATAATATCGATCCCAATGATTTTTTAAAACAATTTCAAACACTAACAACAAATGATGATAAATAAAGGTTTTATTTTTGTTGATTTCTGGATTACGTTGGCTACGAAAAAAAATAGCCGATACTGGGAAGGGGTGCAGTAACGTTTTAGGTGGGAATTTAGGAAGATAGGATTCATAAAGTTAATTAATTTATATCTATGCACAACGATAAACCATTGTTAACGAAAAACGATTCGGAGCCAAATTCGGTAGGACATATTTTGAAATGCGTTAATTTTTACGATTTTCATTGAAAATACATTATTCCATAAATATTAACAAAAAAAGAACAGAAATCAAATTTACTTGAAATTTATCAAGAGTGAAAGTCGAGTCGTGATAATTGGACCACTCTGTATACTGGTAAACAAAATCGATTCGGTTAACATGTGATAATCCTACGGCACGTATTTTTAGTTAAAAATAATAAATCGAACGATGGTTATAGGTACCTATATAATATAATGTATTGTTATATTGTCCATACTTGTTTTTTCGTTCACTATAATCGCGGATAAATCCGCATGTATTTTTACGCCACGATTTTTAACCCCCGGTGCGCTTGACATAATATACGTATGTTGTTTAATTTCCGTAGCATAGTCATTTTCGATTTGCATTATATATTTTAATTTGTACATACAGAGGATCCTACAGTGTTATCCAATTACTAAATTATTAACACTTAAATGTATACCATACTTACATATTCGATCAATCGTTTCTTAGAAATAACCATTTAAATTTTTAGAAAATTTGTGTGAAAACGATTAATTTTCAATAGAATAACACGTTACGCGATAAGGAATCACAAACAGCACGGTAATTCCTTATCTTCTATACATTAAAGCCGCTATAACTAAGAAACTATTGATCGAATATGTAAGTATGGTGCATTAAAATGTTTAGAAAAATATATTTTACAAATTGGCTATTTTTAAAGTATTAATCGGGTACACAAAACCCGATTAAAAAAAAAAATAATAATTCTAATTGTATTTGTCGGGCTTGCATAAAAAAAAAAAAAAAAAAAAAACCATATTTATTATTAACTATATTCTACGTTGTCCAATTATTAATATTACACTCCACAGCCGTTTAATTTCTTTCTTTTCGACGTTATAATATAAAAAACTACCGTGGCGTAGTTATGATTTTGTTCTGAGGAGGGGGAGATAGATACATTTTTTAGTAAACGTAGAGAAGGTTCGCATATTTTTAATATACTACCGAACACAGTTATATAATATATTATAACATAAACCTCCAGACTCTTTTTCAAGCATATACAATTCATAAAAGAAAATATCTATTAAGCACTAAAAACAAAAAAAAAAAACCATATTTATTATTAACTATATTATTATTAGTACTATTATTTACTGGTTGTCCTGCATCCAGCGTTGCCCTTGCCAATTATTATTTTACCCATATTAGTTTTTGGTTTTGACCGTGTCAAAATTAAATGAAAACTAATAGGTGGAAAGTGGGTAGCCCACCTTTGGCGGACTAAATGTGGTCTATTGTGAAATTTTAATAGCATAAATAATAGTAATAACAATAATTATAATAGTTTTCTTTTCCATGGCAACCAAATTGTCATCCGTAACACCAAGGTAACCCTTGAGTAAACAAAAATTACTAAATAAGTCATTAAATATTCGTACCGAATATACCTAAAAAAACCTATTTTACCCCTTTAGGAGTTGAATTTTCAAAAATCCTTTCTTAAGGATTGTCTATGTCATAATAGCTATCTGTGTGCGAAATTAAAAATCATTTAGGTGAGAAAAATTTTGAGAAAATCGAAAAATGTCATCCAGTCACAAACTTTGATTTTTAGAGTGGTGTTATACTTGTAAATTCATTGAAATCTCTTAAATTTCTTAAAGACGTTTTCACTCTTTTTAGAGTGGAAAACATACAATTTTGATTTTATAATGGCAATCCATATTGAAAATACCTTAAATAGATAGAGTTAACATTTTCGGTTTCCATCAATCAGTTCACGAGATATTTCACTTTTAAGTTTTGGTAGGGGGAGAGTATTGGAACACTATTAAAACGCCACGCCCCGCATCACCACATAAACGATGCTCTGTTAATTTCTCTTACTCAAACTTAAAAGTGGAAAATCTCGTGAATGAGTTGATGGAAATCAAACATTTCAATATGAAAATTAAAAAAAAAATCCGAAAAAGTTAATGTTTCCAGAAGTGTTTCCAGTTGAGTGATTCACTCTGTGCATTATACAATTTTTTCGACAATATTATACAATTTGTACTTAATACAAAATATGCACATATATTTCTGTATAACAAATTTTAATTTCATTGTCTTTATAGTCTATGCACTGGGCACAGATGAACACCAAAGATCGAATGTTACCGGAAGGCGCTGTTGGCGAAGGATCTTCTTCATCAGTGGCGTCCAGGAGGGCGTCCGAAGGTGGTGCAAATTTGGGAGCGAACAACATAAAATGGGACACCAAGTCTAATGCGGACATCATCAATAAGTTTCGAAACTACGAAATATAATCATACTCTGGCCGATTTCGCAGAAAATTATAAAAAGAAACATTCCTTCGTTAAAAAAAAAAAAACTCTAAATATGATTTATCATAATACAACTCGTATCTAAACGTACTTACCAAATCTTATAATATATTCCTTAAATCTCAAGTCCTGAGAATTGTCAACGTGATATAATAAATAACATATAATTATAATAACCAGTTATACTTGACAACTCGAAATTACAATCATTCCATTAAGCTTACTTTTATAAAGGGTAAAAAAAAACGAAACGTTTTAGGGTAAAATCGAACGATTTCTTTTTTTGTCTTTTAATTGCTTCTCAGATCTTTGGTGTGTACCTTCGAATTTATCAAATTTCAATACAATATTATTAGAATATTGTCTAGTAGGTGTTTCAGAATATTATAAGTTATATAATATTTTCTAGTCATTAAAAAGTATACAACTATATTATACCTAAAGTTCATTTTTAAAACGAGTTTATGTATGTTTAGTTAAAGTAGGTAATATAATAATAATTATTAGTTTGTACCATTTAAAAATTAAAATAATATTAATAATTTAGTTTGACGTGTAGGTACTTAACTATCCCGAATAAGTAGACCGCGACTTATTATTGAGACGTTTTTTAAAAATTTGATGTGTTTATTAAATTTCTCAATCGAAATTAAACGAATATCTATATCGCGTTGCCTAATATCACCTAATTTATTATACGCTGTACTTATAAGCTGTTTGATTATTTACAATATTGTCATATAATATATACCTGTACTAGACAGTTGTCAAAATAGCACTTTGAAACTGATATTTCATTGTTTTTCTCGAATTTGTAAAAATAAAAACATACAATATTATACACCTTAATTATATTTATCTTAAAAAACAACACGGGTTTTGTTATTTACCATACCTACGTTTCTAAAATAATATGTAATATTATTAAATAAGGCACATATATAGTGAGGGTACGATTAGGGGTTCAACCCCCACCAATTCTAAAATTTGAAAAATACTAGTTCTAACGTATCATTATATAGTTTAAAATATTTAATTATTTATTGTGTCTCTCATTCTCCCTCCCTCATTCGTGCCTGTATTGTATAAAAACGAATGATTTACAAGATAAATATAACAAATACCTAATGGGGAAAAATCGTTACGTGAATCGCGTAAATATTTATATCATATAAATTGCAAAATTTAGATGGTTGGCACCAAGGGCAGTCAAACGGTGAAGAATGAAGGGAATGAATCTCCCCTCATTACGTAATTTTTCTTAAATATTTATAATAATATAAATTGATTTTTAAAGTATGCTCAGTCCTCACCCAGTTTTTATAAATTAATTAAGAATAAATTAAAATTTTGATATTTGGAATTTTTAAGTGTAGTGAAAGGCGATATTTTTGAATACTAAGATTTTACAACACTTAAAGAATTCTTTGACAATACCTACTTTGGTTTTTCTACTAAATACCTACGTGTTTCAATGCAAATTGTCAATCAGATGATTTGTCTGAAAATTTTGAAGTATTTTAATTGAAATATCTGAGTTTTTCTGTTTTAAATACTAAAGGGTAATAACTGCACGAACGAAAACAAGAAATTATCTATAGATATGAAAAATGTAGGATCCAATCCTCGAAGAAGACTATATTATCTTTAGTATTTAAACCAGAACAACTGAATAACTCAGAAACATTTCGTTCAAATGTAGATTACAAAACGTTAACATTTTCAACGAAAATCGTCTGATTGGTAATTTGCATTAAAATAGGTAGATAGTTTCTCATTTGAAAACCAAAATTGTTATCACCATAGATTACTTCTTAAATATTGTTAAAAATTTAAATATTTAGATAGTTCATTGTACTTAAAAATTCCAAAAAACAAAATTTGAATTTATACAGAATTTAACTATACAAATGAGGGAAGCATGCTTAAAAAACCAACTTGTACATTATGATATAGGTTAAAAAATAACTCAGTACAAAATACAGTATAAATTAGAATATATTTCAATCATATAATTCTAATTTTGTTAATATGTTCCAAATTTAATGTAATATTTTTGGGAAGGTATTTTTACCGGGGATATATTTTACGAAGATGTTTTTATCGGAAATATTTTTACGGGTTATCATGTTATATTTTCATAATTATAACAAAAGATTAATTTAATAATAATAGTTCTGAAAAATTATCTCTATCTCTCCCCTGACATAATCATTTAACCACCATTGGGTGGCATATATACAAATTTAAAAAACTTTCCAAGAAAGATAATAATAATTCCTAGAATTTCACAAAATATTATAAATTATAATTATATTTTATAAAATTACTGTAGATACTCATAAATGATATTTAACACTATAAAATCGTATATTATAATATATTTTTTTTCAGAAATATTACACGGGTATTTTTGGTTTTCTTTAAATTTTTAAAATTTGAACAAAAATGTGTGTCTTTTCCACATTTAGTGATTCAAATATATTGACAATAATTAAGCATAATATTGTGAAAACAAATGTCAAGCCAAATAAATACTGTAATTGACAGCCATCGTTTTAGCCGGTTTTCAAGCACAAGTGTCAAATAATTGGTTAACCTACATACACGTGTTCCCGTTGGTACAATAATGTTATAAATTAAATGTAATAATAGCATATCTTGTTTGTACATACAGAAAAAAATGTGTGGTTTCGATCGGTCGCAAAGCAATATTATAGATTTATAATGCTATAATAATGATGATTATTGATTACTAATTAGCGCCAAAAAATTCTTCACTCTAAGCATGACTACCAATAGACCTATCAGTTAAATGCTAAATCTTTACCGTCCTAACATGAAGCATATGAGTTTTGGTATCAGATAAATTCGTCGTTTGATTGCAGGTCGAGTCAGAGACGTATTTACATTTTACATATTTACACCCCTATGCATTATGCTTTAGTACATGTTCATAACACTAATTTTATAAATTTAACTAGGTACTTACTACGCTAGTAACCGCTGTATGATCAAGACTAGAGAATAATATGTTATCATCAGTCATATAACCAGGATTTTTTCATAGGAGTGTCCGCTAGTAGTTTCTTCAGCTTTTTTTTAAAGTTAATTTTCAGATGAATTTCAAATGACTTCTATTCAATATTTATTAGATTGCTTTATTCAAGATTGGATGGGCTGGACAGGCAAGCAGAAGGAAGACTGTTAAATAAAATAATTTCGTTGGTACCTGATAAAAAAGACCCATGGGACGACCGAGACAGCGATGGTGTTACTGTGTACTCCAGGACCTGAACATGATAGAAGTAGAGAATCTGGAAGAGATAGCAAAAAATAGAGAAAGATGTAAAGAAGTGGAAGTTGTGGCAAGGGGCCTAAATGGTCTGTATTAAGCGTAAAAAAATAAATCTTATTCAAGCCTATTACCGATAGATTGAAAAGCGTATGCCACATATATTTAGATATACATCACATTTAATTTTGATATTAAATATTCTTGCAATATTTTAAGGTATTTACGAAATTAATATATCTACGTATTACAATGTTCGAGAAAAATATTTAAGAAGAGTTGTTATCCGGATTAGATTGCTCGGACCTATGTATAATCCCTGAAATTAATCTCACAGACCGTAAAGCATTCCAGAATTGTATATAGGTGGTCTGTATTATCACGGACTTTAGGAACCCTGAAAGTAACTCACCGTACAGTCATAGATCATATTTACTCGGAAAAATATATACACAAACCGTATAGTCCCACCAGACTGTATGAAATATATTATATACATACAAACGATATTGTTGCGGACCGTATATTTCCGGAATTTTAAAATATTCGTACCGTATTGTTACGCACTATAAAAATCTAAAAAGTAACTAACTGTATTATCATGAACCGTATTCTCCCGGAAAACATATATACGTAAACTGTATACAAGTTAGAGCCCAGAAAACACTGGATAACCAGAGAGACATTGGAATTAATAGAAACGAGAAATAAACTGAGGAATTTGAATAAGCGAAGAACGAAATAACAACAAAATGTCGACAAGCGAAAAATAAATGGTTATAAGAAAATATTGAAGAAATTAAAATATATATTTGGCTAAATAGCGCTGACAAAGTCTATAAAAATAAGTGAAGAAATTGCAATTATAGGTTAATCAAAGATCTATGGGTGGCTTCGTCCCCCCGCTCTATAGCTGACTTAATAAATAACACTAATATTAAAACACAAAATAATTCTTTCAAATTCTTATTTTTATATTAATTGTCTTATCTTTTAATATCTAGCAGGTACTTAATTTGATAACTATAACATTTTTTTAGTAATAAAATAAAATGTTTGGTAATAACATACTATACTACAAACAAAATGAAATAACAAAACAATATTCATACAGTTTTAAAAGTATCAATTTTTTGTTTATTTTAAATAAATTTAATATCGTGGTTATTAAAGCCAGAGCCTAGTCGTGGAATTCAACTTCTGCAATTACTTCCTTCCATTGAAATTGTATTGTTAACAAATGAGTACAAAATCCCAAACAGAAAACAGTTTTTACAATAACAAATTAAAAAAACTGGCAAGATATATTTAAAAATAAACATCATCATAAAACCAATATATTCCTCGCTACACACAGAATCTAAAATATTTATCAGATTGTAACCTATAGGAGTGTATATAACATATTCTTGAGTATTAATCTATAGAACAAGATAGTAGATAGAAAGTAGGTATTATACTGACTTTAATAACTTAATCCATTTGAGCCTAAGTTTTCTAATTGTAGATAACTTAAAAATTTACAATCGGTTTTTTCACTATAATGTTTGCAATTAAATGTTCAGCAATGCGTTTTGTAATCAAGAACTTATTAACTATATAATATATTGAATTTGAAAAAATGTTTAAGAAGTTTTATTCTAACTTAACCATGAGGAATATCTTCACAGTAATTTCCCGCCAGATTATAATTATTTGTTTTTTTAAATTTTATTGAATTTTCAGTACTAAAATAATGTTATTATGAATTACAGATCTCATGTACATCATGTTACACATTAGTGTAAAGTGTAAACCATGATAGAGTAAATAGACTAATTATTACTCTATGGTGTAAACTTCGGTTGTAGATATAGACCTTCTATTTACAACTGTGGTGTAAACATTGCCAGTGTCACAAATGGCGACCGTACTTCAATGATAATATTTAGTAGACTAATTATTTGTTCAAAATACCATAAACATATTATTTAACAAATATAACTTTCTATTATATCTATATCCATGGCAATCATAGTCGTTTTTTTTTAATTGTAATAAAGTTAGCCCTAAAATATCTGTCCCCTTGGCTCCTCCTCTTGTTATCTACCTTCCAGTTTCTGTAAAGTGCACTTATTTATGCCATAATTTTACTTGAAACTATATCAACATTTATAATATTACATATTTATTTTCATAATAAGTTAGATCACAAAATATTATCCAACTAACCATGAACATTAGAATAATAAACATTAATGATAATATTTCATCATAATTATCTAATGTTCATCAACCTACTAATAATTATAGACTTATAATAATCATATTGCAATACAGTTGTAATGTAGTTATGAATACTGTCTACTATTAGGAATAAGAATACCGTTACGCTGTAATCTATGACCATGATTAATTAATGGTTGTGGTTTCTGATAACGCCACTGTCGAATAATGTCTCGAATACCTATGATAATAGTATTATCTGCCATTCGTGGTTACGATAAAAGAACTTTTTAAAAAAAATGAGAAAAATTAAATTAATCAAAAAAAAAGAAAAAAAAAGGCTGGGGGTGATATATCACCCAGATCACTCCCCTAAATACGTCATTGCGGAGACATCATGGAACTTTTAAAATGATTTGGTGAGATTTCCAAGACGGAAGCGATGTACAAGCGGTGTTGCCACGGCGGCTTATCACGGATACGGAATAAGGAATTATAAAAAGTTTAAATAACTAGGTAAACAAAATGTTGTTAAGGTAATTGAAGCGCACTGTTTCTATTAGTGAGCTTACACTTTAATAGTTTGCCTATAGCTGTGTTTGTAGTTAATATAGTACACGGGCAGTGGTTCTGCAGCAGAAGTAGAAAGAGAAAACATTAAGGTATTCAACATTTTGGACGCATACCTAGTCCTCTTATCCACAGTACTCTCGGTTGTTGCCATCGCCGGTCGGGTACGGTTATTATTCCAAAACGATGGCATTGTCGGCCTAAATTTAAAACGTGTCGACACGACCGAAGTTATTTTCGTACGGCTGCAATAGTTATAGTTATGCTTAGAGCAAGGCGTACAGGATGTCCGAAAAGCCTCCTCATTGACATTTGTACTCTCTATACATTTCGTCGTGCATGGCCGCCCAGTAGTCTCTATGCGGCGTGTGGTGTAGAGCGGTCGAGAAGTCTCCGTACATTTTGTCGTACACGGCGGCCGAGAAGTCTCTATGCAGCGTGTGGTGTAAAGCGGTCGAGAAGTTTCCGTGCATTTTGTCGTGCACGGCGGCCGAGGAGACCGCGTCCGTTTTGTGCAGTATATGCGAATCAGCACATCGAAGCTCGTCCCGGTGCGTGGAGCACATGGCACTCGACGCGTAATGGGCGAACCTCGGAAATTTGCTAAATCCTGGTGGTAGAGCGTCTTTACGGTCGACGAACCGGCCCTCTGTTGTAACAGCGGAGTCGCGTAGGTCACGATCGCGGTGATCGTGGTCACCTGAGCGCCGAACAACAGCAGTATGACTATTTTCCCAGACATCGTCGACAGCAATTAGATATTGTTGAGTGCGGGCGGAAATAATACGTATACTAGACTTATGTATATTTTATACACGCGTACACTCACAAATAAAAATAAATACAAATTATTGTATAAGTTATAACCATGGTAACGCAGACTTTGTATTACAAATCCAAATACGTGTGGCATCATATTATTATTATAATGATTTCAAGTTTACGAATATTTTAACTTAAATTGCAACGAAAAAACAAAATTGAAAATAATAAAAACATTATTTTTGTAAAATTTTCCATATTTCTACTGTTTTTTTTTTCTTTTTGGTTATGCTCAATTATTATTAACTATTGAGAAAATAGTTTACCTAAAAATGCAAATAAAAAGTCTCTTATCGTGTATGGCAGCGGTTCTCAACCTATGGTACGCGTACCACTAGTGGTACGCGAAAAGCTCATAGGTGGTACGCGAAGAAAATTTCTCTTTATAAAAAAATTTGGAATGAATCATTAAATATTATTTGGTTTATTTGATGGTGTGGAGGTCGTTTGTAATCGTAGCAATTAAGATAGCGATATTCTATATATATATAATATAAATCGATAAACTTTATCAAATATACCCGATAAAGCGTATTCTTAATTCACAATAATGCGTTTTTACCTTAGTTTCGTGAGTTCTTTCAGTTTATTCACGAGTGTCATACGAATTGTTTGCATCAAGTTTATTTTATATTAAAATTTTACATTTTTATGTAGTTTTTTCTAACTTTTTTGTGATATAAAATTAAGTAAAATGAAAAGATTTTTCGAAAGCGGAAGCTCAAATACTAAAAAACAGNTTGTAAAATTTGGATTCGTTGTAAAATTTGGTTCTGAGAATTCTACTCCGTTACCTCAATGTGTAATTTGTCAAGAATNATTAAGTAAAATGAAAAGATTTTTCGAAAGCGGAAGCTCAAATACTAAAAAACAGAAAACACAGGCGAATCGTAAATATGACGATAGTTACTTACAATTTGGATTCGTTGTAAAATTTGGTTCTGAGAATTCTACTCCGTTACCTCAATGTGTAATTTGTCAAGAAACACTTATACCATACACTGTATGGTATTATCTATTGGAGCAACATTTATGGTAGAAAACTTAAGCCGTAAAAATTTAAACTAATAAAATCGTTCTGTCATAGTTTGAAAAAAATCGTATATTTAAACTTTTTGGGTGTATCCAAATCATAATCATTATTTATTATGTACTAATATTTTGACAAAACATTCAAATTACAATTATAACTAATAACTATAACCTACACATAATACGCTATAAAAAAAAAAAAAGATAAGTTAATGGGAACAGATGCAGCTATTGATAAAGGTGGGAAATTGAGAAGGTAGGATACAGATAGAAATTTAATGTATAACTGTAAGCAACGATAAACCATTGCTAAAGAAAAAACGATTCTGAGCAGAGGGTTCAATTGATAGTGTTGCTTTGTCAACAATATATATGGTATGCCATAATATAGTAAGATAATTAAATAGGCTCTATATATTTTCTTTAATAATTTTTGTTTAATGTTGTATCGATTTCCTCGGTTTTTCCCATGTTTTTCAAATTTGCTGAAAATACTCCGGAGAAAATCGAAAAATTACCTCTCTGTAGTACCTCCCTACACCGAGTTTCTTTCAGGAAAGTTGCTACACGTAAAACTCGGAGCAAGTCTTTTGGTAGAAAAGTTGTCCATAGAAAAAATAATAAATATTTTTGTAAAACCACAAGCTTATTCGCTCCACTTAGAATCTAAAAAATATACATTAATCACAGCTCAGATTTATAAAAAATTAGTATAATAATAGCAGGTACTCTATTGAATTTATTCGTGTATTAAATGGAGAAGTTTTTCGTTAATTTAGCCCTGAGTACTATTTTCCTTTATATAATCTTTAATCTTTCTAATTTCGTGAAAAATACAATAATAATGATATCAAATTTTATTAAAGATTTGTTGATATACAAAGTTCAAATAAAAATCAACATTGTATTGAAATACTTGAAATTGTTTTGATAAACAAAATTCAAATACAAATACGTTGAGTTGTTGGCATTGTGAAATATAATTAATGATAAAACCCCTTGCTGTATAAATGAGAGCGGTAAAAGTAGTCTGTCTCTTATTATATTAATATACGAGTGGCCTATCCATTCGTTTATTATATTCTATGGTATCAAATTATCGTTAATTATTATTTATTGTTAATAACTATTCTATGATTAAATCAATGCAAAACAATAAAATTACTCAACCAAATTTGATTCTATTGTATCACAACTTCGGGCAGCCTTTTCTGAAACTTTAAAAATCATTTCTATTATCAAAACTCTTCAAATTTCCTGTTTCCAGTGTTTCAAACAATTTTTTTCACCCTTTAAAAATTTTAAAACTTACTTGTTATCGAGTAACGCGGTTAGGTAATTAGGTTAAAACTTAGATAACATCAATTTTCACATGGATTAGAATTTAAACCAGATGTTACTTAAAAACTAATCAACGGATATAAATGTGATACACAAAAATTATCAAAAAAATGAACTCTACATAATGACTACCTTAAAATTTTCTGAAAATAATAAAATAAAAAGTTTTTTTTAAAATTTTAATTAAAATATAATTATTTATAGTCCTTATCCCTGTGAGTAATTAAACAAAAAAAAAACAGAATTTGATTACCTTTATTTTTTTTGAAGATATTCAAGATATTCAATATGATTTATTATTATACCATTATTAATTAATATAAAGGTCATTATAATAATAAACTATTATATTTCAAGTTGTTTATTATTTCCATTGCATATGCACGCTTTAGGTACCTACTTAATGCTTTATTCATAAACTCAGCTTTGAATAAGTAATAATTTGAATTTTCCGTTTTGTCTGTTATCCTAATTACAAATTTTAGTGTTTATCAGTTTTATAATATACTTAAGACTTAAGTACCCAACTACTAATTAAGTTTGTAGGTAAAAAAATTAGTTGTGTACAAAATCATTAAAATAATAAAAGCTGAATGATTCGGTAGGTAGGAACCAAAAATTAAATATTTTATGAAAGATAACTGATAAGCATATTTTTTATAGACAAATTCTATAGTGAAATTATGTGAAACGTGTTTTAACGATTTTGGTGGTAGAAAAAATTGGCCTCTTAAATTATTTGCACATCATTAAAAAATAACTGAAATAACGACACTGTTTATTTCGTTTTCATTATTACCTATATTACATAATTCCCATTTACTATTTTTAGCCTCTCCCATTGGAGAAATCATGAAAACACTACAATGAAAGAGGGAACTTGGAAAAGCATGTTCTTTATTTTATAATAATATAGTGTACAATTGGAAACAAACTATGATTCTGCTTGGTTAAATAATTTTTGATAAATTTCAATTGCCAGCATATTTTTAATTTCTATTTACCAAATAAATTACAGTTGAGCAGTCAATTGATTATTTACCTAATTATCCAAGCCATTTCTATTGATTTTTTTTATAATTGTTAATCATACAATAAAATATTTAAAATCCCTTACAATTTTTTTTTTGTATTAGTTTTTGTTTACATAACTTTTCAGAATATGAAAAATACTAATCACAAAATACGTGCAACCAATCATTAAAATAGCTCTCAACAAATACTTTAAGCTCTATAGTTACAATACGGTCTATTTAATATTTACACATTTTGTGTGTAACTATTACATTTTAGATTCTGAGTATATAGCGAGTAATGTATTTTACATGTAACTAAACAATTTTATAGCAGGATTATCTACTGTAATCTATAATTTTAAAGAAAAATAAATTAACTAAAAATATAGAATGTTATCAGTGATATAGAAATAACTGAAAAAAATATTGTACCTAAAGCGAAACTTATTTTAGATTCAGAGCATAAACGTACATATTAATTTTTATACTTACCAATAATTTTTTCTATTCTGTGAACAACTCTTCTACCAGAAAATTTGCTCTGATGTATTATAAGTCATTTGTTGATTTTTAAACGGTTTTCATAATAATTGGTAACAACCGGAAAATGAACAAAAATTATGCATTTAATATTTTAAATTTTGTTTTTTTTTACTATAATTCAATTCAAAAATATGTTCGTAGAGACTTGAAATTTAGACAGAAAACTAATAGTTTTCTTTTCTAAACGTGTTAAAATATTCAAACCATTTGAACAATTTTTGAGCTATTTTAAATATGAACGGAAATGAAATAAAATTGTATTTTGCCACATAATAGTTTAATTCTGTATAAATTCTTAGTTTGTATCTAAAGAAAAATACAATAGAACAAGTATAATAAGTATTATACAGATAATTTTGGTCTAAAAAAATAATTATTCTTTGAGCTGTAAAAAATTTTAAAATTTAAATTTAATATTTAAAATATAGCAACTTACATACCTATTACATGTTTGTATTATTGTAGGTATATGTAAAATAATGTAATATTATTTTACATATTAGAAATATCCAAATAACAATATTTATTTGTATCTAAGTATCTCATTAATAAGAATACAATGAAACCTGTCTTAACAAAACACTTCTCTTAACAGCAAAAATAATAGGGTCTGACCAAAAATGTAGGTATTCCAATGTATTTCGACCTGTTTGTAACACTCTTTCTATTACAGACAGTAATATTTTTTGCTAATATCTCATTACAGACAACTATCTTAGTTCAAAATCAAATATATATTGCAAAAGTGTTCTGTATACATATATACCATGCAACAGTGTCGCTGGTCTATTTCGAATACAGACTATCATACATGAATAATACTAAAGATAAAGTTAATTGCGAGGATGAAAATAACCAAAAACAAGTAAAAAAAACGTAGACTATTCAGTGTTTATTCAGTATCACTTCACTTATTCAGTGTTGTACATTTTTCTCTGTTCGTTTTAATTTTTTCTTTGCAACACTATCTCCCATACTTGTCTATTACAGACACTTGTTTATAACAGACATTTTTATGGTCCCATAACTGTCATTATGTACAGTTTTAACTGTACTAAAAAATGGACATTTGAATGATTAAATAGAATTGTTTTTAAGAACAGATTAAATTTCATAAACTGAATGTATTCTAGTAGTAACAGTGTTGTGTGCTCCAGAGGTAAATAAATTAAACTTTTAAAGGTATATTTATAAATTATAATAAAAACAACTTAATTATATGTATATATTATATAATACATACATATATAAATATATTTAAATTATTGTTAATTTATCACTAAACAACGTTCAATTTAAATTGTTAAATAATAAAACAAGAGGATCATCACAGAGTTAATGTATAGAAAATTGGTAGGTACAAACCTAATAATACATTATACTAATGGTATCGATTGCTAGCGACACAAATGGATTTTTACGATCATGAAATTACAACCTTAACTCCCCATAACAAACCACAAGTCATATATAAATTATAATTTTTACCTAACTGTACTGGCCTAAATATACTTAAATATTATTGTAATATTAGTATATTTGTCTCTTGTCTTTAAATGATAGTGTCCTCAGGAATCTTGCAATTAGTATGGTATACAGAATTATGTAATATTAAATAAGTTGGTCAAACAAACTAATCAAAATTTAAACAAATTTTTTTTTCAAAATACAAACCAAAAACACTATTCTCAGTTGTCTTGCATATATTTCCCCCATCCCTCACCCAACAACAAACACGAGAAACACAGCCAATCAATATTTACATGGTTTTACATTTTTTTACAATGGATTATCACGATATTGTTACAATAGTTGTATTAAAATAATAAAATCATTATTATTACTCTTATTACTAGATACTACTACTATTATAATCATCTTCATTTGACTAAAATGTATTAGCCTAATATAAATAAGTCTAAAATTACACCTATGAACACGATATTTTTTTTTTAATTTAATTTTTTTTTTTATATTGTTATTGCATATAAAATTAAGAAGTCTCAGCGAATAGTTTAATATAAAATTGAATAATATGCAATATATAAATATAATAATTATTGGCTAACATATTACATGGCTCTAACAAAAACGACAATGTCCATGTGCGTAGGCTATCATATTATAAGTCTCAATTGGTATACGAGCTACAACATTATAAAGGGCATCTACAAAAAAAAAAAAAAAATAAATAATAATAATTGTCCATGTGGAGCCCCAATTCATGTGGAAATACTGACATGATATTATTATTACACTTTACTGATTATTTTAGCTTATAAAATATGAGTGATGAACACTGGCACAACAGCAGTCCAACTATAATAATATCACATTCTATTTGATTTTAATTTTATGTAATTTCAATTTGAATCCCAGCAACTCAGATAGGACGCCAGACAGCGCAGACAGAATCACCACTTTTATCAGAGTAAACAGGTATGGATTGTCGGACAGGCCAGCGATTTTGAACGGGCTTTCCAATTCCTGACAAAAAGTGAATTATCATAATAAGTTAAGGCATACCACTGCTGTTTAAGATAATACATGTGTTATTTTTTTTATTAAACATTTCTTCTATGTGGATCCCCTAAGTCTCACTACCAAATTGAAAATTATAATATAATAAAAGTTTTTGGCATAATAGTTTTCTAGACGAGAAAAATTAAAAAAAATAAAATATGTAAAATTTGTTTTGTACTTATTATTTAAATTTTTAGATTCAGATGTAAATTTAATTCTTTAAATAATCTTAATGATGTTGAATTTATTGAATTATATTAAATTAAAAGTATTTGCATTTCATTAATTTAAAACATTATGATTTTAACATATATTATATCTTTTACTAGTTGTTCATTTACATATCTAATTAGTAATTATGACATTTTTTTAGTGCTCAATCTAAAATTAGATTTAACATAAATAAAAAAAAATATTTATTTTTTTTTGAAATTTTAATATACCAACAAGATATAATTTCATCTTCAAAACAAATCAAATATTATTAAAAATAATAATCCATGTTACAACTATTTACATATATTTGAATATTTAAAAATAATAATTTTAAAGCCAAACAAAAACGTTCAACATAAATTGTCTTATTCAGAAAAAGAGAACATGATAATTCAGATGTAAGGTAGGTCACAACATCAAAATTGGGTATTATATTAATACTAAATAATTCCAAATCACTGTGCATGTTTTTGCAATAATACGGGGAATTTAAAAAATAAATTTTGCAAAAATGTGTTAGTTATTTTCAGGACAGACAAACAAAAGGATTGGCGAAAATATAAAGATTTTTTATATTTTATAGAAGCACTAAACCTATTAAATTTATATTTTTGAAAAACTGTTACATCTTTAACTGCGCTAAAAGATTTATACAACATACTATACTGATATTATTCATATTACACAATATTTGAAATACTGTATTTGATAAACTAAATAATATAATAAAAATTATACATACTTTTAGTAAATCAGCAGCTAATTTTAGAACACTGTTTGCGACCATCAAATCATCTTTTTTATTAGGCTTTTGTTCAATTTGCAAGTATAAATTAATCTGAAAAAAAAAACTATTAGTAAATTTGTATACAATTACGGATGGGTCCTCAAATTTCTCGATTTCAAAAAAACCTTAAAAACTTTGACATTTTTAAAAATTCTTTAAAGTCTTTATTATTATTTAAAAGGTTTATATTAGCTAGCAAAAAGATTGAAATCGGCACAATTTTAAAAGTGATAATACTGAAAGTGTAAGCTGAATGCGATTTTAATTATATGAGTTTATGGGTTATTTTAGATTTGGAGCATAATGAGAAATGTATTGATTTTGCAATGATGTTTATTCTTTTTTTCTTTGAATAACTTTTCTATCAGAAATCTTGCTACGATTTTCAAGTGTATTACCTTTTTTGAAGCGGTTTTCATAATTGCGAAAAACCAGGAAATTTGTGCATATGTATAAAAGGAAACTTTGCTCTGAATCATTTTTTGTTAGCAATGGTTTATCATTGAGTACAGATGTAAATTAAATTGTCCTCTATATCCTACCTTTCTTGCTTCTCACCTACAACTGAGACCCACCCATCGTGCGAAGTATATCAGTCTTTTTTTTGATTATAATTTATTGTTCAATTATTACAACCACGATTAAAGTTATCTTTAATTGTATTAACATTCAACAATAATTTAAATCTAATATTCTGTGTTACAATGTTTCTCCAATACAGAATTCTGTTTTTAATTTATTTTATATTAATTTATTATGTATAAAGATTAAACCCAAAATTAAATATGCTGTGGGATAATTTTATAATAGACCTAATCATAGAAAATATAAAAAAAAAACTAATTTTTTTTAAATTATAAATATTATAATATTACGTATAAATTCAGATTTGAATTTTGAAAAAATCAGGGTCCCACGTATCCCTAATAGAGTAAAAAAATTATTAAGTTGTTGACAATAATTCAATTTTAATAAAAAATGAATAATAATAATAATTAATTATATTAACAATAACATTCTTAAAAGTAAACCTTATAAAATATAAATTATCTTTAAATAATACTGTAGAAAATTGAAAGATAAATAAATTTAATAGGTTTCAGTATTTACCTGCTCTGTAATTAGTGTTGATAAATTTCTATATTTTTTATTTATTTTTGTGCCCAAAGTTAAAAATCGCAAAAGGTAAATTCCTAGTACCATACACCATGCTGATGACTCTAAATGGAATTCAGAATTCAATGAAAATGTATCCTGTAACAAATTAAAATAAAATAAGCAATTCAATTTTGTTTTTATTTATACTACTAATATTTGTATTTTGTTTACTTTAAGCAATTCTACACTTAAAATGGCTAAAAATAACGAAGATATGTAAAACGATGACGACACAATAACATCTACTGATCTCTGAGGTCCACGTTTCTATAGAAACAAACAGTCATAAATTACAAAAAGAAAGTTAGTTGTTATACATATCAATATATATACATGTGATTGACCTACTTTTAAATAAGAACGTATGGAAAGCCATGTTTTTATATTCCGCACTTTATTTAATCTAAAATGGGGTAGTTTTGATTTTCTAGCTCTTCTGAAAGATGTGAGATGTGAAAAAAATTTTGCATATAAAAATCGTTGTTTATATGTGCGCTCGGCTACAGTCAAAAGGAAAAAAAACATCAAGGATAAACAAAACCTTTCTATCAAAGTCGTTAGAACAATATATCGTTCCCTGTAAAATTTATAAAAATATATATAGTAAATTATAAACATATTAAATATTTATAAAATTTTAAACATTTACCAGCCAATAGGTGCAAATGCAGCGTTAACAATGGTAAAAAAAGCAGCCAAGTACTGTCTGTACACATATTCGGAAGGTTCATTCATAGTTATAGCTAGAGTTGGTAAAGGTTTGTCCTCTGCCAAGCTATTAAGTAATCGATAAGCTGATGGCATAAGGGCAATTATCACAGACAAGAAAACACCTATAATAATATAATAAAAAATAAATTAAAAAAAACATTAAAAATTATTTTAATGTAATCTTGTTTACCCAAGTAAAAATAATCCATTTGTTCAGGAATCTCTTCTACTCTAGCAATGATTGCAGAACTGATATCTAATACGGATAAATCTCCTTTTTTTACTTCTTTTTTTTCCCACATTGTACAACTTACTAATAAATATTTAATTATTATTATTAATCATTTAAATCTGACAATTTAGGTTAGAATAATTAAAATTAAACATGTTATTATAATCAATATTTGTTTTTGTGTAGGACAAACAAGTAACTTTATTACTGTTTTATTTAACAACAAAACAAATTAAACAATATTTAATTTTACCTCGATCTGATGCTGCACAATTTGGACTTAATATCACGGTTGGTGTCTAAAATCAAAAATGTATGCATATATTTTCATATCATTCAGATACTATAAGATATTATAAGATACTATAAATATAAGATTTCTTATGAAGAGTAAACTTACAGTTTCAAATTCCCATAAAAATGGATGATCTTGATTATTATCACTCAATAAGGTAGTCTGTTCAGCATCTATATCTGAACTGGAAGAACCTTCTTCAGTATTAGTTGTAAGACCAATCCATTCACCAGCACTAGTTGTTCCTTCAGTCAACAAAGATAAAGGACAAGCACTACCTCCATTTGAAGATAAGACTTCACCTTCTTCATCAGTTTGTCGACTTGATGAACTGTCTACATTATCGTCTTCGTCATCATCAGAATTTGACTTTTGAAGTAATTGCAAACGATGACCACGTCGTATGGTTAAACGCTAAAATAACCAAACATAATATTTAATTTAACTATTTTGTATACATTATTATATTATAAAAACAATATTATTAATAAATGTATATTACTTTTGGATTTGACAAACTTTCATTTTCTGTTTCTTGTTCACTATCTTCAGATTCGGAATTAACGGTATACTGAAAACAAGAAGATGTCTGGAAAGCTGAAAAATTAAATATTATATTTTTATTCATAATTTATAATTATTATAAAGTATTAATTTTTTATACCAGAAAGTCTACGATCTAAATCTGCAATCGAAGCTTTAGTGGATATAGGAGTTTTTTTGAATCGCAAACACCTATTCTGACTCATAACATTTTTACCCGCTATATCATCTGTAGTCTTTTTCTTTACCAATTTTATATTAGGTTCTAATTTTTTCAAAAGATGTTTCGGAGTACTACTTGACTGTTCAGCACTAGTAGACTCAGATACTTGGGATGTAATAGTAGAACCAGTTAAAATATCTTCTTCAGGATTATCACTAGAACCATTCCCATTTAAACTCTCAAACCCATCATCATCGTGTGTTGAATTAGAAGTATTAGGCCGCATATCCATACGATCTCTAAAATAGTAAAATTATTAAATGTACTCCAATAAAGTTAAGTGTTTTAAATTTTATCAAAGCTTAAGAATTTAACATACATTCCTCCTAATTGCTTTTTTTCTTCTCTATTAACTAATCGTAAATCTGAATTAAAATCTTCACAAACTAAAGAAACACCAATATCAGGTAGAGATTCCAGAACCCAATTGCGCGTTTTTACAGGTGACGTATCCCACACAACATTTTGAGATTTGGATGTATCTCCACTGAAATACAATGTTTAAAATTATATAAAAACGTATAATTGTTGAAAAATAATGTAGAAATTGTATTTATAAGAACAACAGCTGTTGTAACATACTGCACTTATTAAGTTGTTAATGGTAAAGAATTTAAAATCTTTACCAGGTTCTTGTCATATTGGCTACTATGAGCAATAATCTTTAATTCTATTAAAATAAAAATAATATTTTGTGTCAAAAATAACAATTTCTACCAAAGTTTATTACTATGAAAATCAAGGTAAAACATTCCTTTTACAAGACATATTATGTGTTATTTTTATTATATTTGAAATTTTAAAATTCTAAATTTAACTCACATTCTAGTTCTACGCTTCACATATTTAGGATCAGTACAAACTAATGATTGGATATTTTCTACTTTCAATTCAGTCGAATCTGAAATTAAAAAAAATCAATCAAATATTATTTTTAAATTTAAAAAACAATTTTATATTGATAACGATATTATGTTTAACATTTCAAAAGTTGAAAAATTACAAATTACCATTATACCCGATAGTTCCAGTTCTACAAAAAATTAAAGTATTTTATAATAATTATATAAAAACCATTTAGATAATATAATATTTAAAATGATCAGTAAGAGTGTGAACAAACCAGAAAAATCAAGATTAATGATCAAAATAATACTTTTAACAAAAAAAAAACATATTACACTGAGTATTTAGATTATATATGCAAGTAATATGAATAGTATAATAAATTTACTTTTAATTTTAGTTGAGGTAGGATTCCCCCTTTTAGCACGTCTTGAGCTATGAGATCTAGGGGTTTTCAAAAAGTTCTTTTTTGAAATTGTAGTGGTAGACACAATTTGCGAATGAACAATACTCAACACAAGCATCATTATAAATGGGCTCAGTACTTCACCAAGTAATACAGTCTGAAAAAAGTATAGTACAATTATATTCATTACTATTAGAATATAATTTTTATATTTCATTTTATTTATTAAAACTAACATAATTTAATGTGCATGCTTTTCAGTGACTGGAAATTAAACCATACTAAAAACATATTTTTGAATTCAGTGTTCAATAATTTAACTGTTAATTTAGATTTAGATTAGATAATATAGAAAACTTTATGTATTTAATCTATTCAGTGGTTTAGATTTTGACAAAAACCATTCACACTTTGCATAGTATCTTTTGATTTATGCTGTTCATCATGAGCTATAGTAGCAAAAAAAAATTTAAAAGTTATATCGTAATTTAGTCTATAAGCGATTTAAATTTAAATTTAGGATTTTATTTGTTAAAATCTGGTAAAATTCTCATTTATTATGTACATATGATCATATCAATATCAATTTAAATTTATCAAAAAATATTTACCTTAAATTCGCTTAATATGATTTATCAGAATATTTTTAAAATAAATTATCAATTGGAATACAAGATACATGTTCACAGATAAAAGTTTTAGAAATCGATTCTGTAATTTTGATTTATAAACCGTGTTTACAAAACAAAAAAATGAGAAAACAAAGAAACAATAGGTCTATATTGTTTTCAATAAAAAAAAAAAATAAATTCATAATCTTCAAATGAATGTGTGAAACAAAACTGCATTGCAATCAGATTTTATGAATAATGCTTATTATAATAAACAATTCGGAAAAAAATGACTGCGTGCAAAAATTTATAATATTTTATTTAAATTATGATACACAGGAATAAATTATTACTATGGATTTTTTTTTTCACTAAAATTACTCAAATTAACATATTTTTAATTCTGAACGGAATACAAGATAATCATAATCATTTAATATTATTATTTTGTGTACAGACATAAATTAAATAACTTTGTGTATATTAACTTCTTTTCAGATTCAGATTTGGTTTTTCAAATGATGTTAATTTTTATTTTTTATTTTTACTGCGAACAACTTTTCTACCAAAAACATTGCTCTGATTTTCATGTGTAGTACTTTTTTGGAAAGGAAATTTTATATTTCCTAAAATATTAAAAGTGATACTTTTTGATTTTTTGAGCGCGATTTTCATAATAATTGGAAAAAAGGAAAATGTACGAAATGTATAATTTTCAATATTGTTTTTTGTTGTAATTTAGTTTAAATATTTATAAAATATTTGTATAGTGACATAAAATTTTGACAGAACACTTATATTTGACTTTTTTAGACGTGGAAATTTATACATATGTACAAAAGAAACTTCGCTCTGAATCGTTTTTCATTAGCAATCGTTTATCATTGCGTACAGGTATAAGTCAAATTTCCTCTATATTACCTTCCCAACTTTTCACCTAAAACAGTGGCCCACTCATCGTGCGAAGTATGTCAGTCTATATTTTTTATACGATTAGAATTTTTAATCCAAACATATGGATACCGAAATACATTTTATGGCGCAGCTTAGTGAAACCGTGATTGTTTATGTATGTGGTCTGACTGAGTTTGTGTTGTTGTTATAAATTTTATATTTAAATAGGTCACACGTCATAATGTATTATGATAAAAATTATAATTACAAATTATATTATAACACAACTGAAGCTAATTTAAGGGAGTGGTAAACTGAAAAAATTTCGGGGGTATGCATTTTGTTTGTATCTGTGAATAACTTATTTACTTTTCTACTAGAAATCTTGCTTGAATCAAAAAACGACAACACTGTGCTTTTTAGTAGAATTCTGGATTTAGCTGGTAGATACTCAGAGGAAGTTGTTTTTTTATTTTTCAAATAGTTTTCATAATAATTGGTTAAAACCAGAAAAAAAACATATGGAATACAGGAAAGTTTAAGGCAATAACGGTTTATTTATTTTTGATTTTGTTCTTTTGTCAACATTTATTATATCGCATTCTTTACGGCTTAATAATTTACTAATGAGGTTCAGTGAACCTTTTTTTTGAAACGGTATAATCTAGTGACAATTATTATGGCTAATATGTGGTTTAAATGCTCGTCTATTTTTTGCAAAACTATATAAGGCTTTTTTTCCCCGGGAAACGGCTATCGTCAACGATACCAATATTATAGCTATAGATAAGTTGTTATGATAATTTAGATAACTGATTGTAATAACGATAATGATTTCATCAGAGTTATACGAACATAATGTTATACTATTTATTTAGAACATTGTTTATCGACAAAACATGGATATATTATGTATAGGTATTAAATAACTATTATTATATTATATTATATTTTATTATTATACGATAACTATTACTTTTATGGCGCAATATTTGCGTATGAAAAACGACCTACACTACTTCACTAATATACGTAGTTGACCGACATAATCGCGGAACGAATTTCTCGCGGATTCACGGGCAACGCGCGTTACATACTACGACGCACTCGACGCGTGTTAGCTTTTTCTTGACGTAGTAAAATGTTAAAAACATTTTGACGATCATTGATATCATTAATCCGCGGTTATATATTCATGGCCATTGTGTTTTGGCTTTTGTAGTGGTTCAGTTAAAAATATTATTAGGAACTTGAAACAGAGCACTTATATTTGCCTTTTATAGAAAAGGTATAATTTTTAAAACAATTTAATAATTTTGATCTATTTATAGATATTTAAATTTTGCAAGTTTTTTTACGTAATTTTTATTCGGTATAGGTACTCTATGGATAAAATTGTAAAACCAAATAGAAATAGAAATGTTTGAAAATTTAACAGGAGGTTTATTATAAGTTGTACTTAATGGCCAACAAGAAAACGTTGAATTTAATGTACTATTTTTTGTTTAATAAGAAATTATATTGTCGAATTTTAATGAAATTCATTTTTATGGCCTTTTAAAACACGTATAACCGAATTTCACTCAGAATCGTTTTTGTTAGCAATAATTAATCGTTACGTACAGATTTACATTAAATTCCTTTCTATATCCTATAATCCCCAATTCTCACCTACAACAGTGACCCACCCATTGTGCGAAGTAAGTCCATCATTTTCAACTCGATTTTAATATTTGCTGAAATTCTGAACTATAATATTAAACAACGATAGTTGTTTATTGAAACGTGAACGGTGAACGGGTGCTTTAACTGAAGGGAGACAAGGAGCAAAATTCACTTTTTTAAAGTATAACAGAATGTCACATTTATCAATAAAACATTTCTATGTGCTTCAGATGGTTAATACTTAGAACAAATCAAAGGGCGAAATGGATTTTGTAAAAAACGCTTAAAACTGAGAACAAAATGTATATTGTACAAATTGCATAGGATAGCAATAATAATGTTCTTTATTAATACGAGTATAAATAACTTCTAATATAAAACAGAAGTACGTGTAGAAAATTCATATTTTAAATATAAATATTTGAACTTTTAAAAAATGTCTGTAATATGATGTTTAAAAGTGATACTGTATCAATTAATGATAACGTTGTTTGCACTTTTGGTAAATGGCAACCAGCTTCATTAATAATTAGTTAAATTAAATTAGTTCATTTAATAAATAGTTAGTTTATAATATATTCATGTGGAAATCAAACTCAAACCGGCAATGACATAAATTGGATTTGACGACATACTATTTCGTTTGCGTCTGGCGTCCCCCAAAATAATATATTTCCAAAATTCTGCATTTGTAATAATGACGTTTAAAACAACATGATATACTTGTACATCTAAATTTATAATAACTACTTAAAATTCACCAGTGCTGTATTTAGAAATGTTGTGCCCCGGAGCAAAATTAATTTCCATCCTTCCACATGATGGTTATATTATAACGAAAATTAACTTTAATTTTATTAATTTAAGTTGAACATTGCACAAAATGCGCGTTGTTTTTTTTTTTTAATACGAGCAATCGAATTTTACTCGAAACATCACAACATCGCAATAGAATATTGCTAATCTCTAATAAAACACACCTACCTACCGCAAAACATATACGCAAATACGTCAACACTCGACTAGATAAATGTACTGTCGATCGGTTATAATAATTACATTACAACGGCGGTTACGCAAAACGATATGACGGTAAAAATTGTAAATTTTTACATAAACGCGTATTATGGAAAACAGAAAAAAAAAACGTATACGAGATTATTGATTTATGAAAAGTTCATCAACACGCGTGACGTCGTACCATAAACGGATAGGTTAGACTAACTGTGTACGTATAAACGAGATTACGTTATCTCTACCTTCGACACGACGGGCATGGCTTACCAAAGGTAGATAATTTAATCGATTTATGTATTTGTTTATCTATACGTAATAAATATAAATTAATAAATATAAATTAATAAAATTTAAAAAAAAAAAAAAAAAAAAACATAATAATAATCTAATACATATATATTTTAACAATTTTATCGGGACTATTCGTTTAGGTAGGTATGAACAATATTACATTCAAGCTATTACAATGATCCAAAATTGTAACCTTTACTACAAACTTTAATTTACTTTTTATTTGGCGCGCATATTTCGAAATCTCGGGAACCGTGTGAATTGTTATTGTTATTATTATGTTATAAGTACCCGACAGATCTACACAATTGTTTTTTCATTGCCGCATAATTTTATTAAGTAAACACAGCAGCAGCTGGTTCGTGATGATATGATGACATTTTTTTTGTTTACATCGTCAACATACAAACAAATATCGAGGAGAAAAAAATGTATCATAATACTATATTTTATTTCAATACGACTACCAGGCGCCGCCGCATTCGAGTGATTGACCGCGTTGTCGTCTCATTGTGCATCGGCCGCGACGATAACAATGTTTTAAAAAACGTGCCAGCCCGCTATATTATTTTCGATTTAAACGAAAACGACCCAAACACGCGGCGTGATAATATTTTTATAATATCGTTTAACGATCGTGTAATGTAATTGCGTTTAGCTACAAGTTTAGTTTACTACACATTATATTGTCGATTTATAACTCATGTAAACATGCATATTGTACGTTTTATATCATAAAATAGTATTATTAACTCATACCGACGACGACGACGCTACGTCTTCTTCAGCCGAGACAAACGTGACATAGCTGAACAACAAAATGTTTCCCAACTGCAAAACGTACAGGCACAGGAGAGACAGGAACAACCGCCACGACGTCTGGTGTACATACCATTGGTAATAACATGGTAAAAATAATAACCGGACGACCGCCAGTCGGGTCACTGTGAAAAATCCGTGTTTAGGTTTCGCCTTGGTGAACGCCGACCCTACATAATAATGTGGAAAAACGAGACTTTATTATAATAATAATAATTATTATAACCAATGATACTGGCCTACTGTCTAGGAGAGTAGACGGGATTTTTTTTTTAATTGAGGGTGGGGGAGATACGTTTTAATTTCATATCTAACCATATCTTAAAGGGCTTTGTTGAGTCTTAAAACCGTGTTAATACATTATAATATGAGTTTAATAAACAAATTTGAATACGTAATAATTATATGATACACTAATACGATCGAATACGTAGAGTAGGGCGAGTATTGTTGTTTTTAAACCGAGTTGAGTACTTGGAAATTCTCAAATTTTTGAAATTGTCCGAGTACTCGAATATTACGATTTACAGTCACTAGTGGGTATGATGGGTCGTTACACCGGTACTCGTTCCAAAGTAATCAGTACATATTTCAATCATTCCACAACTGTCACCACGTCTAAACAAAATTAAAAACTTGTCCCCAACAGTACTGTGGAATTGTGGACTATGTGTGTTATTACGTTTAATTGGTACAAATTGTGTCAAAAGACCGTGCTCGAGTCCAACTCTGTGGTATCCTGATAACAGTTTAACGTGTCGGAATGCTACAGCAAAACCGTATATGGATGTACACCAGGGCGTTTCTTATATGAGTTTGTTTGAAGTTTAAAATTTCCAAGTTAAAATAATAGTTCAAAAAAATTTTGAAAAAATTCGCTAATTTGTATAGATTTTTATTTTAACACTAAATAACGCTATACGTAGGAATGGATAAACAACTGATATTCTTCTCCGTGGAAAAAAAACTGATTTTGACGGAGTTGTTAATTTTTTTTAAATTTATGTTTTTTACAACACTTTTACATGAACTAAATTCTCAGTAATGATAAAATGGCACAGAATATTAATTTAATTTACAATTATCTACAGCTATTGACTTGGGTAAATTAAAGACACGCCAAAATACAATAAATTATCAGTGTGCGAAAATTGAATTATAATTAAATAATTAAATGTCGAATAGATTTGTCACAAAACACAATTCAGTCAACAGAAAAGGTCATTAATAGCGATTACTTCAAGGATTGCCAACAGTTGGATAACATTATTTAATATACTGTATTTTGTTTCCCTTCTAGGTTCTTACAATTTAGCACAAGCTGACATTTTATATTAGAATAAATGGATGTAAATATAATTTATTTTTTAGGTGCTTTATGGGTCATATTAAAAAATATTACAAAAACTAATACATAGAGATAATTGAACTTTAGTTCTGTAAAACGTATTTAAATAATTCAAATGTTGTGTAACTCAGTTCTCATGATAATTTGATAAAAAAAAATAAAAAAAAAAAAAAAAAACAATAAAACGGCATTAAACGAATACCATAACCTATAGTACCATAGTGTTTGAAAACGTTTAGAATAACATAAATATATTAATTGATAATAATTAATAATGTTTGGAAGAAATTGTATCATTTTAATAACGACATTAGTGGCCACTCCGATCGTAGGCCCTCTAAACATGCGTTCATATAGTTTTTAATAAAAATGTCTCGTTGTAATTTCTAACACGTGCGTTATTCTTGGATTAAGAAATATTTAACATTTTTTTAATGAAATAACGTAGATTTTTCGGAGAAAGACCGGGTCCTATCGGCTCGTTACGCCGCCACTGCAATACTATAATAATGGGTACCTATATTTAGGTTGGAGTTACACCGGTCGCTGTGGTGGACTCCGCGCACCGTTTCGGCGAACCGCGTTTTGGTTTCATTGATTTTGTATATACGCGGTAAAAAGGTCAATGGGTAAAAATAATCAATAGACCTTAACCTCTTGCACATATATTATACTGCAACTGCACGTCGTCGCATAAAATACGAACCTGGCGGATATTACTATCGCAATATACTGAGTGTCCCACGAATATATATCCGAAGATAATAAAGATAATCGAATTCTGTTATTTTAAGATTCGGAGCGTAGCGATTGGTTTTCCTAAGATGGATTTACTATTTTTTTTCTGCCTGAAAAAAACAAGTTTTCATAATAATTGGGATAAACTAAAATGATAAAAAATAAGATATTTTTTCAAATTAAAAATAACGATTTCATTATTTAAAATTGTTTAGATCATATTTTTATATCAGAAATTTTAGTCCAAATATCAAGAATAGCATAGTTTCTGAAAGAAAATTTTGTCTCGTTTATGAGTAAGAAAATCATTGTTTGATTTTCAGTAAAATTTTTCCTAATTATTACGAAAAAGCGCAGGAAACACGACAAAGTATAAGGCATTTTGTTGTTTATCGGTTAAAAATTACTAAAGAGACATGTAATTTACACAAAATTCTTAAATTGATCTTTTGTAGATGCGGTAAAATGTTTGCAGTTTAATGCATAAGTTTTTTTTCACAAGCGTTTTAAGATTAAATTTTGACGAAAATCTTAAAAATGACAACAGTTCAAATACCGATGTCTTACCGAACTTCGATCCGAAAATTTTAAAGAAAAATAGTATACAGGCAATTAGCGAATGTAATTACAGCATGCTGCATAAATACAGGTATTTTTTTCTGAAATCAATAAGATCGTTATCTAAGTAACAAAAAAAAATATTTTTTAACATTTATGAAATGTTCAAATGACCAGTTTTCCATTCAAAATGAAATGTTAAATTCAATGTTAAATTAATATTTAAAAAACCTATTAATAAAATGTTTTTAAATGATATAATTAAAAATATATTTTACAAATATTTAAAATACATTATTTTATTTTTAAAATCCTATACGAAAATACGAGAGATAAAAATGTAAAAAAAAAGAATCATATTTCTGCCACTGCCACCGGCTATTGAACCTGAACCTTGTCTAATCCAACTTAATTCAACTAACGCCCTACCCACTATACTACATACGTAATTATTGTCAAAAAGAGATGATTTTATGACTGTATGAGTTATATTATTAAGTAAATTTCAAAACATATCAACACATTTTTTAAAAATAAAATTTTTTTTTTAAGTTTTTACCAAAACATAAAATTAATTCAAATATACATTGATGTAGTACTTATCCCCCTAAGATTAATATAAAAAAAAAAACAGTATTCGATTATCTTTATTATCTTGAGGAGATATTACAATGGGTATATCTTCGTGAGACACCCTGTATGTATGTATATATATACACACACACATAATATTATACATTTATGGCTTTATATATTGGCAGCAAGGCCAAGGTTATGCAAACGGACTTTTAATTTTAAACAAATCGCACATAACGATATTATTATATTATAATACAGGTGAATTACTAACCTCTTACTAAGTCTACATCGATGAGATCAGTCTTCAATTTAGCATTTTTCTTTGGAACGTGCGTGAAGCCGCTTAGAATACGTTGCTCGATCGTTTTCTCCCACTGTTGTTTATCATAAGTGCCTATTTTTTTTTGATACCTATTGCGGAAAATTGTCAAAAAAAAATTATAAGTTTAGTTACAAACAATATCTTTCAGAAATTACCGATAAAAAAAATATATATATAGGCAAATCAGTCGGTTTTAATTGTCAATCTATCGAATATACTTACCACGTGACTATTTGTTGTACATTACATCCCATCTCCTATACGGACTGATGCACAGTAGCTACCGGTTTTATCTAAAAAAAAAAAAACAACAACATAAAAAAAAATCAATATGGATTATCAACAGCTATATGATTAATTTACGCGATTCCTGCGTCACTCAATACAGAAAAATAATACAAAATCTAAAAGGCACAACGGCATTTATATACACCTACGGCACCCCACTCCCTGATACCCGACCCGTTCGGCCTTATCGATACGTGTAATAATAGAATAATATACAAATCAATAAAAAAATTCTCGGATAATTACTTAGCTCGGCTCGATAACACACACATACACTTAATTATGTAATTATATATATTAGGTTATAATATTATTTAATCGTTCGTTGGTCCGCTAACACAATAATATTATTAACAATATTAACCACACGTAACGATACAACTATAATATTACAGTTTCGAGCGTTTTAAACGATATAAAATAAATACCTATTGCCAAATAATATGTATGGCGATGAGATTATTAACTCGATATTGCTAAAAATCTTATTATCTGATATTATGTTATGTTAAATAACTCTATATTGTCCACTTTACTATAATTTTGTTATAGTCGAATGGTCATGACTACATATTGTCATACTAAGGGTCGTGGGTCAAACCCGGATTTTAAAAGAAATTGTTTGCACTTTTTTCCGTTTTACCCAGATGGGTACAAACACATTTGATTTGAACAACATTTCGATTTGTTGTGCAAACTTTTCTACCAGAAATCGTTCACCCTTGCATCAAGTGTAGCTTATTTTCTGAAAGAAAATTTTATCTCCCTGGTCAAGGGAGGTCATTATTGTGATTTTTCAATCGGATTTCATAATAATTGGGAAAAAACCGAATAAAATGTCCGAAAAACGGAAAATGTATTAGTATGGCCTTTATTTTTCTATGTACAACTTTCCTACAAGCAATTTCACTTCGATTTAAAATGATAGCACTTTTTCTAACAGGAAATCTTACTGAGAAATCTTAAAGTACTTTACGGAGGTAATTTTTCGATTTTCCCAGGAGTTTTATTAACAAATATGATAATCCGGGAAAAACGCAGGAAAACGGGAAAATCGATACAATATGTAGCAAATATTATTAAAGAAAATATATAATGCCTATTTAATTATTTTACCACAATATGAAATATATATTGTTGACAAAGCATCACTATCAACTGAATTCCGCTCAGAATCGTTTTTTTGTAAGCAATGGTTTATCGTTGTTTACAGACATATATTCAATTACCCCTCAATTAACTTCTCATCTATAACAGTGGCTGCACCCTTCCCCATTATCTTAAGACAGATTTTCGTTGATATAATAGTATAAAATATTATGTGGACAGCTCATGTGTGTGATAGCGTGACACATAAAAAGGAGTAGGCACATCAAGGTAAATTACGCAAATTAGATTCATTGGCCTTTGATATGCTCACAAAAAAAATATAATATTTTAACGACTAATAACGGTTAGTGATGCTTTGTCAGCAATATATATATAAGTCATATTATCGTAAAATAATTAAATAGGCTTCATATATTTTTTTTAATTATATTTATTTAATATTGTACCGATTTTCCCATGGTTTTACCCATTTATTGGAAAAACTCCTGGGAAAATCGAAAAATTACCACCCTAAGTACCTTTCCAGTCATATTTCCATTTAGAAAAAGTGCTATCATTTTAAATCCGAGCGAAATTTTTGGTAGGAAAGTTGTATACAGAAAAAAAAGGTCATAATAGTTTTTTACTAATGCCTTTCGTACATTTTCCGTTTTTCCAACATTTAATCTCGATTTTCCCAAATATTATGAAAACTACTTGAAAAATCAAAAAACGAATTATCTAAATCACCATGGAAAAAAAATTTCCTTTCTGAAAATAAGCCACAGTTGATTCATCGGATCAAGATTTTTAGTAGACAAGTTTGCATAACAAATCGAGGGGTATTTTGCGATTAAAATAGGCCAAGGGAGCGATGGCTTGTGTCTCTAGGTACATCCAAAATGCATTTTTTTTCCTTATTTAGATAAAAGGGAAAAAAAATGCAAAACATTTTTTCGTCAAAATTTGATATTAAATTCCCTTATAAAAAAAAATATACTATATTAAACTCAATTACCACAAATTAAGACTCTTGATGAACCTCCTGTTAAATTTTGAAACATTTCTGTTCAAATTAAAAATTTTACCACAGATTACCTACACTGAATAAATATTACGTACTAAACTCTTAAAATTAAAATATCTATAAAAATACCTCAAATATGGCTTAAATTGTATGAAATTTTACTACGTCTAAAAAAGGCAAATATAAGTTGTCTGTCCAAATTTCAAATATCTCCGAATATTTTAAACTGAATTACAACAAATAACAAAATTGAAAAATAATAAAAGCATTATTTTCGTAAATTTCCCGTTTTTTTTTGCGTTTTATTTTGATTTTTCCCAGATATTATGAAAACCGCTTGGAAAATCAAAAAATACCATTTGAGCAACATTGCTTTTCAGAAATGGTACCGCACGTAAATATCTGAGCAAAATTTCTGGTAGAATTTTTGTACATAGGAAATAAAAAAAAAAGATATATATCTTAGTAAAACCAATACATTCTTTGCTACACTCAGAATCTAAAAAAAAAGTGTAAATAATTGTGAAAATTATTTTTTCATTAAGCAGGGGTGTGTCAAAAAAATTAGAGTATCGGTAGGTTGGAAAATTAAATATTTCCCTTCACTTTCAAAAATTGAGAACAATTTTACGCCACCGATAGACGTAATGACATCGTGTTACGAATAAAAAATGTATCGCGTAATAAGATATCGTTTTGCCTGTTCTAGGAGGGGGGTTGATTTTATTTCCATAGGTCATGATTGTTCCGTGAATATTTTAGAACTCGATGATATCTTTTTACCGGAATCGGCAAAATCTAAAAATACCCTAATTATATTTTACATCAATACCGTAAAAATAATGTATATTTATTTTAAATAGAATATTAGAATGTACACTATAGATATAAAAAGCGGTTCAATGAACATTTTGTAAACCGATTAAATGTACCTACATATTATATAAATACTTTTTTTCGAATCAAATATACGTCTTTATCATTTAATTTTAAAGCGACCATTTGATGGAATACAGCAAAATAAATCGAGATATGACTATTTAAAACAATGGCAATAGGTCATGCAACGCACAAACAAAAACTGATGAAATGAGAAGATTTCAAAAACGCGTTTACATCTTCAACATCTGTTAAAAATTTTTAAATAGATTTAGTTTCTTAGACTATCCATCTAGTGCGAGCGTTTTAATTTTGAAAATGGTTTGATGTTTTTAAACCATTTTAAAATGTTTACATGACAAGAATACGTTTTAATTTCAATACGATTTTATTGCAAATCTCTTTTTCACGCCGTAACGGTAATAATATTGTATATTTGTGTGTCTGAATAATTTCTAATTACAAGTATTACCATAATAGGTTAATAATAAGTTATTGTCGTTTCTCGTAGGTATTATTTGTAAAAATCAGGTAACATAATATCCGAAACGAGTCAGATGACAAATGGTAACACTGAACTGCAGTGTCGATCAATAACTGCTGCTTACACAATAACAGACGAAAAAAAGTGATTACTATAGGTATACGTAGTAAAGGTTATTTTCTTGTCAGTAAGTACTAGATACAATAGTAATAGATACAACATAGCAGATTTCTAAATTTCTGAAAACTACAAAAACGTTGAGATATTAACTACTTTGAGTAGTATAAAAAAAGAGGGTTCTTGGACTTAATTCTACCTCCATCACAACCCCACCCCTCATCCATACTAATAATACGGCTGCCTGAATTCCGATAAGCTCCATTATATAGATACTTTATACATATAATTACGAAAACAACTTGAAAAAGACGGACATACTTCGCACGTAAGTGAGAAGTTGGGAAGGTAGTAGAGGGGGACACTTAATGTACATCTGTACGTAACAATTATTTAATTTATTCGTATGGCATTCGTATAATCAACAATTAACCATTGCTAACGAAAATACGATTCTGAGCGGAGTTCGGTTGATAGTGTTGCCTTTTCAACAATATGTATATATATGACATGTTATGGTAAAATAATTAGTAATTATGTATGCATTAAACCTATTCTTTAATAATATTTATTTAATATTATATCTATTTTCCCATTCTTCCGATTTTTTCATGTTTTTTCCATTGATTGGGAAAACTCAAGTGAAAATCTAAAAATGACCTCCTTAAAGTACCACCCCAGTTAGATTTCCTTTCGAAAAAAGTGCTATCATTGTAAATTGGAGCAAAACTGCTGACACAAAATTTGTCCATAGAAAAAACACCATTGTAAAACCAATATATTTCTCGCTCCGCTCAGAAACTAAAAGAACACATCAACAAGATTGCGGTAGGCTTAAAATCTGAATTGTAAAAATGTTAACGAAATAATGTAAATTCGTAAGGGTTAAATTTTTTGAGTACGGCAATCATCCGGAGTGGTTATGATATTTATTTTGACCCTAATTCGATAAGTTATTGATAATCACAATAACCTGACGTTCTGATAATTGCGTAAAAACCGTCATTTTTTGAGCTATTTATAGACATTTAATTTTTGCTACTTTTGTACGTAATTTTTATTTGATAGGTACTCTGTGTACAAAATTGTTAGACAAAAAAGAAATTCTTGAACATTTGACAAGAGTGTCATATTATATATTTTTTTTTATAAAAGTATTAAAATCAAATTTTGTACGAAAATCGTAAATTTTATGGCCTTTTAAAACATGCATAAACTGAACTTCGCTCCAAATCGTTTTTCGTTAATAATGTTTCATCTTTCCCAATGTTAAATCCAGGTATATCTAAGGGGAAACGATAGCCCTTCCTAGAATTTAGTTTTCCCCCTGTTAAATATGGGTAAATTAATAATTAATTAAACAAATTTGAATTTCACTGGTCTTAGTAAAAAAATAGATGACCAAAAAAAAAAAAAAAGAGATCTTGCATATTTTAATTTTAATAATGCCCCTCCCCAGAAAAATGTTCTATATTCAACACTGATTCTCAAAAGTGGGGGAGGCAGCAGCGGAGCACAGGTCATGGGGGTTGATGCCCTAAAAATCCGATTTTTATACTACCACTTTGGGAATCTTTTTGTTTTATTTGAAACGTCGGTATTTTTACAGTGCCATGCCACCTACAACATAATAATAATTAGAACTTGGATTTTTATGTAGGTATTTGTATGGTTTTTTCCTTTAGTCCAAATTAATTATTTGTCACATATGTCCACAATTTGGTTTATTCTAAATTAAATAAAACAATATTTGTTTTGCATGTTTTAAACAATGCATATAATTGCATAATTTGATTTTTGAGAATTTTATGAATTTTAAATGATATTTATTTAATGAACGTCAATAATAAATAAATTTTTTATTTGTCGAATTGTCGTAAATATTAGCTAATATTAGCCTTATCTTGGAACTACACATTATTTAATGACGTATATTGTGAGACGTACAAAAGTACCAACAAGCGATAACAATATCGAACATTGATTGCATGGGTTGTTTTTCATTAGTACTACTTGTATCGCCATGTAGATAGGTGCGTACATATTTTGGTAAATAAAATGCATGTTATACAATTTTTTTTTACATATATATCCTAGCCAGAATAAAAATAATTTTATATAGCGTCCAAAGTTCAATAATCGGTGTTGCAGTCATAGATATTATACAAGGTGTCCTACAGTGTTATCCGAATGCTAGTAACTCTGTCGATAATACAAATCCGATCAACATTTCTTATTTTGTATTAAGATTATGATTCGCTACGCGTAACGTGGTGGTCTCGTTTTTCACACATTTCTCTAAATATTAAAACGGCTATTACTAAAAACTATTGATTTTATATGAATTTATAATGCATCGAAATGTTTAGAATAATATATTTTACAAATTGGTTATTTTGAACATTTTAAATAGTAAGAAAATAAAAAATTATTTTCTTTCGGTGATTAAGGAATGAAAATAAAAATTTAATTTTTCTCCACATTTGTATCCCCCTGACTCAAAACACGATTGAAAAAAAAAAAATAAATATTTACAGAGTTATTAGCATTCGGATAATACTATAGAATGCCCTGTATGATAGAAAAATTAAATCTGTGGTTGCAGTACTTTTTAACGATATTTTAATATTATTCATAAAAAAAAAAAAAATCGCTACGCACCGAAACTAAAATAACGGTATTAAGTTTAATAATTTTAACTAGTATAATCAAGTTTAAACAATTAAAACAATTATTATTACGTATTTAATATTGTAGTAACTATACTAACTATACTATATACTATATACCAATTGTATATACTTTTGAGATAATATATTATTTTAAATAAGTTACTTAAATAGGTTAGAGACAATTACATTAATACTGCTATATAGCACTTACGTTAAGTAGTGTAATCAGAGGGAGAGATGATGGGGATAAATTCCCCAGACTTTTTTTAATATTATGCACTTTAGCATAACTATTTGAAATCCAAAGTCGATTCTGAATGAAGTGGTATAAGTCATGGTTTTTTCATTGGAGTCAAGGAAACCCAGATATAAACAAAAATAAAACCTATAATTTGATGTACATTTTTAAATTTTAGCAAATCTAAAAATTGTTTAAAATACAGTACCATCGAGAGAAAAGTCCGTATCATTTAATCTTTAAGATGCGATGCGAATAATTTAGAGCATTATTTTTACTAACCGAAAAAGTATTATCCGGAAAAAAAAAACTAAAAACAGAACCAAGGAAATGAACTGTTTAAAATGTAAGAGTTCCAAGTAAAATACCACAAGGTAAAAATTTTACATCTTTTAAGTTACTGCATGAAAATATTTGAGTATTTGGTTCATCAAAAAAGTGTTTTTTAAAATTACGGACATACTTCTCACGGTGGGGCATTGTAGTAGGTGATAAATTATATAATGTAGAAGGGAATTTAATTTTTATCTGTACGCAACGATTGCTAATGAAAAACGATTAGAAGTGAAGTGTCTTTTATACATGTATGTACATTTCCTGTTTATTTTCCCAATTGTTATATAAAAACCGCATGGAAAACCAAAAAAAAAAAAAAAAAATGACATTTTTAAAGTACCAACGATTTCCTTTCAGAAAAGGTACTACATTTGATACATAAAAGCAAAATTTCTGGTAGAAAAAATAAACATTATAGTCAAACCAATACATTACTCCTACGTTCCAAATCCAAAATAACATAAGTACAATTTATGAAAAAAGTAAGTATTGAGAAGTTCGAAAAAAATAGGTACCATCTGGAGAAAAGTTCGCATCTTTTAGTATTAAAGTATAATTTACTATCCGAAAGTGTTTTCCATTATAATATAGAGAAACACAGCTTAATACAACTAAGAACTTCTTCGTTACACTGAGAATCTAAAACATAAATCTGCGCTTGGTTAGAAGTTCCCACATTAAGTTTATTCAACCTCAAGAAAAAATCATAACAACGTTACTGCTCGCATCATACTATTATGATACAAAATATAAAACCGTTTCTAACGTAACAAAACATTGTTATACAGCCACACTTGATAATATTTAAATAAGGTATTATAGGTACCAATTGAAACGAAAAATGTATAAGCCTAAGAATAAATGATTAAAATTAGACCTAGTAGGTAATCTAATTGAGTCGAATTATTATGGTACAATAGCACTCTAATGATCTCTATAGAGTTCTCTAGACAATTATTATTCTAAACGGAAATTTTATAATATAAGACGTCATACTCGCAGCTATACAGGATGTAACAGGACTATTTGATATTTTTACAATGTAGTTACATGTAAAAATATCAAATAGTCCTATACACCTTATATAGCATAGAATCATAGTATTTGTTTAATCTGTATGGTTAATTTACCTAACTCGTAAATTGCAAAAAAATTAAACGTACTCAAAGTTAAAAAATTACAGGTAGATACATAATTCGTTGAAAAAAAAAAATTAAGATCACAAGGACTTCTTTCATTAAAATAATATTGTATGATGTTTGTGACTTTGATACTCGAGTGTTGGGAACTTGACAACCGAATTATTATTGTTTGCTTCATAAAAAAAAACAATAATACATCTACAAACTGAATAAAATTATTACAGTTTCTTATTTCTATACCTACTTAAATTTGTATTTGTATTTTTAAATAAATCTACCTACTCAAATAGCTGAAATAGTTTTTTCGTTTCGACCAGGGTTTTAAGTAGTACAAAACGGCAAAGGGTATTGATTATCCAGTTTTGAACGTTCCATACATTGTTGTCCCGGATAACAAATAATTTTAGGGACTAGGTTATCTATATTGTCAAACCAAAACAAGTTTTAATGTTCTTTAATGTCAACAATATCATTATAACAGAAAATATAAATTATATTTTCATTAGGACTAACATGAAACATATATGATATATGACATTCGTATTATTTTTCCTAACACATGAACATAAAATAATAAATAATATCAATGTGTACATAAATAACCATATGTTAGGACTTCATTGCACGTAATAGGTTTTTTTAACATCTATACGTATTAGCATGAAGCTAATGTAACAAAATTAAAATATACTATAAAAATTATAATATAGTTACCTATAGATCACGAATTAAGATAGTATCTTTCTAGGACAGGATTATAACAGACCTGGCATAACCCCGTGATATGGCAAATTTTCGTTCAGCAGGGATAACTCTATGCCATTAATTTTAATGTTGGAGTGTTAGAGTGACCTATTATCAAAATTAAAAATAAGAACAATATCTGTGTAATTTTTTTTTTTTAAACGAAATATGAGTGTGTGTAATGTGACCAGATATTTTTTTTTTTTGTAAAAGTGGGACATGATCACAGGTATGCTTTATTCAAAAACTTTGAGAGATCTTTTTTTTTATTATTCATTTATACTCTTTTCCCGTACAATTTAATGACCCCTAATTTTCGAGAGGGCTTCAAATAACAATGATAGAGAGTTCCAAACACTGTAAATAATACGCCTATAATTACAGAGTTCGGCTGAGCAAACGGCGTGGTCGTGAGAAAAGTAATGGTGAGATTACTGGTAAGGAAAACCGAAAAATTAAAAAATTAAATAAAACAAAAATAATAATTATATAAAACCAGATTTGAGATTTTAAAATAAATATATAACTTTATTAATAATAATATGATTATCTGGACATATACGCTTGAAAAATATGAACACGATAATTAATAACAGATAACCAACACATGCAGTCTTGCAATAAATGCAGATAATTTAATATTAATATTATTAGGCGTTTTGATATCATTGTATTAATATAAAATATTACATTGAAATTATGAAATCGGGACGTCAGGTCTGGTCACACTTATCACTTTATTGTCCGATGCGAACTTTCAATAAACCAATTAACGACATCCACAGCATTTCGAATGTAGTTCTAACCTGGTTGAGATCACTTGATATTCTCCTATAAGACGTCATCCCACCACAAGTTACCATGTTACCATAACTTTTGACTAATTTTATTATACTTAACTTTTTTATATATTTTTTTTTTTTTTTACTTTATTTATACCTATTCTATTTCAATTAAATTTGTTTTAATAATTGTATTAATTTGTAATGCCTGTTAAATACCACATGATGATAATAATAATAATAATAATAACACTAAATATGTAAAATATTATGATTTAAAAATGATTATACCTACCCCGTTTAAAAATTGCAATTAAAAAAAAACAAAAAAAAAACGACGCACAATAGTGATAATTTTCTGATCTTTAAGTTTAATAATAAGTCAATTAACTCTAATATTAACACTAACAGCACGAAGTTGTCCGTGATGAACGAAAACACGGATAAAAGACGGAGACATCATAATAATATACGGGATAACGTCCTCATAATTCGTGTTTTTTAGGTGCAGTCAGAGAGAGGGGGACTGCGTCCCCCACACTTTATACCCGGACGCCAACCGAAAAATTACACCATTGGGAAACGATGCATAATATTCGCTAATGGCCATTACCTCTTAATGTAGGCAATCATCATTAAGTAAATAATTTTGAATTAAATAACAATTTACCAAGTAGTAGACAAATAATAATTATTCCTAACAATAAAACAGTTGTTATTCATGACAAAATGGTGTCTACCAGCTATAGTGCCATTATAACAAATTATATTTTTAGTATAATATTATATACAAACGAAAAGTTCAAATAATATACAAGACACGTTTGAAATGAATTCGTTATACATTAAGTTATTCTTAAATATAACAATTTCGGCAACAGACTTTTTTACCATAATATTTTCAGTAAAATAATATAATACTATATGCGTGTATTTGTTATTCAACAGATATTTTTTCAAAGCTATTGTGTAGGGAAGAAAATATATTCATGAACATTATTTAATTGGGTATTTGTAGGGTTCATGGAAATATTATAAATATAATTTCGAGCATTTGATATCAAATTTCAATTGTATGTTTTTAGCTGATTATTGTAATCATCATAAATATTATCCAATTATCGGGCATATTATATAGACATTTAAATATGAATTAATAGCATTGTATTATTATTGTAGAGAAAATTAACATACTATATTTAATATGATGAAAATATTAAAAAAATTAAACACTATAAATTACGATAGACGATTCCATACATTTTATAAACTACCTCACAAATATTATAATATTATACAGTTTATAGATTTATTTAATTATTAATAACTTAAATCACTTATAACAATTAGTTTTTGAGTTCTTAATGGCAATGTATATATGTATGAATAATTATTATTCATACAATTTATATTGACTAGATAATATTATACGTATACAGGGAATATAAGTGTAAATTGAAATTACGGTTATAAAAATCCAGAAAGTAAAACGCCGAAATGTAAATTTCCGAAGAATAATATTCCGGAACATGAAATAGAGTATAGTAATAACCCGGAATTAAAATTAATGGTTCTCAAAATGTTAAGTAGGAAATTATTAGCAGGCACTCGTGAAAAAAGAGTTAAGCTTATAAATGGTCAAAATGGATTATATTATTTTTTTTTTTCATCCTAATCTCTATTTTCGAGCTAAAAGTGATATGTTTTAACATAATGGAAGTAACAAAACAGCAAATTTTAAATTTATGTTTTGACTACCATGTGTATATAACCACTTTAGTAACAAATATACTCTTCGAGCAGACTCAAAACAACCATGGTATATATTATTATGGTCTTCGGTCATATACATATTTATATTATCTATGTCAGTTCTCCATCTGAGAAGAACACCCCCCCCCTAAAGTCGGAAACTGTAAGTTCCAGTCGGTATATCATAACTATTCACAATACCTATAATACCGAAAATTTTAATATTTGTATTAATAAGTTTTTCCTTGAACTATCGACTGTTGTAAATCGACAATCGTGTAATATGCAGATATTATGGTACCAGTCATCAGTGTATACAGTCGTCAAATTTTGTTCTTGGAAGTCGGCAAAATTCACTCCAAACCCCCTTAAAAATAAACCCTAGGATCGCCCCTGGATTTCACAAACTATATTAATCACAGTTAACAGACCTTAATCACGATTCACGCAGCTAACCGGAACAAACCGACATTTTTGGATTTCAGCGAATCCGGTTAATCGTAACAGCTGCGTAATCACGATTTAAAACTAACCGCCAGAATCTGGTCGACTAGCGTTGTTAATCACGGTTAGCATTATCAATTATTAACAAAATATATTTTTTTAATTTGTTGTCGATTTTGTAGTTTATTCGAGTATTTCGCCCTAATTAATAATACAAATGCAACGAGCTCATAAACATGTTCTTCAAATGTGTTTTGAAGACGATATCCAACTTTACCTTCTTTTTTAAGTTTTTCAACAGCGTTTTCAAGCTGTGACAATCTCATGAATATATGGACTATGCTACTTCATACGTCTTAGTAATTTTCATCCACTCAGCATACTTTGATTTTATGCTCACTCCGTCAATAACACTGAAGTACTCAGTAAAAATATTCAATACAATTTATTTCTCGGAGAACTCAAAAATGCGTTCTTGCTTCCTTTTTAACATTTTTTCCATTTTTCAATAATACAAATAATGACAAATAATAACAACCACAAAAACATGAAACTTACACGCGAACATTAAATATTAAAATATTAGTTTGTTATCACCTTATCATACGCCACAGCTGTCTTTATAATGACATTAATAGCGAATAATCGTGGTTACCGTAATCGTTTTTAACGAAACCGTAATTAGTGTGGAGAAATCAAAATGTTGTTAATTCATGATAACCTAACTTTTAACCCTGATTACTTTAATAGCGATCTGTGTTTTTAATAAAATCAGCCCTTAATTGTCAAATTCTTTAAACCATGGTTATACTTTGCACCAAATTAATATTCAAAATATTTTCTATATATTCTATACGTTAATGCAATGCAACAACTTAAATTAAAACGGGTGCATTATGGTTACGCGTGGTTTACCTTTTTGGGTATACGATTGCGCATAACAAAGAACATAATTTTGACCTTACAAAAGCAAACGATAGGCGTGCGCTATTGGAAGCGACGTTGCCAAAATTGTTACATATATTTAAATAAAGTAAAATAACAAACAATTCAAAAATTGTTTTTCGTTATGAAAAAAAAGATACGGACATCATACTTTGGCACGGCGGGCCACCGTTATAGATGAGAAGTAAGGAAAGTACAGGGGAAATTTAATGTAGGTACACTTATTACGCAACGATTAACCATTGCTAATGAAAAACGATTCTGAGCGAAGTCCGGTTAATAGTGTTGCTTTTTCAACAATATATATGTCATATTATGGTAAAATAATATCATAATATGTATTATATATTTTCTTTTATATCTGTTTAATATTGTATCCATTATCCCAGTTTTTCCCATTTATTATGAAATGTTTATTATTTATGTCTACATAAATAATTACTATAGGTATATCGAACTTTGTGCGAAGACTCCATTTTTGGATCCAAAATTTGAATTTTAAGTTTTTTTCATGGCAATATGATTTTTATATACATATAACAAACTATTAAGTAGGTACTTGTATTATATAATACGATACAATAGATATAAATTATATTATCGGACAATAGTAATGTCAGTCTAAATAACAAGAGTATTTTCAGAATCGCTTAAGGTTCTATATAGGATAAAATATAACAAACACTTATTTAGTAATTTAATCGCCAAAAAAAAGTAACAACGGGTAAAACACCCGTTGTTAAATATTTAAATAAGTAAATGTTGTGTACATTAATCTTAATACATATTTATACACTATACAAAATCAAACAAATACATAATATGGTTCAGCTTGGGTATAATCTGTTCTAGCTTAAGGTAAATAAATAGCATAGACATTTTTTATTCCTTAAAGACATGTATCATAAATATGAAGAAGCAAAGTAATTTGTTGTACTTTTATAGTTTTATTTTATATACCTAATGTATCATTATACATATATACATTTAATCCGTCCGTTTGTTGATATACCATAGCAACTATAAAACCCGTTATAACCCGTCATGTACTCAATGTATGACCACGGGCATACTAGTATTTATATGAAATTGTATATAGATTTATAATAACATAGTTCAATTTAAGATTAGAAAATGAATATTCGTTATGTAGTAAAATTGACGATTGCAGTGTAGACTTATAAAATAAAAATTGTAATAAAGAATTTAAATTATTTTAAAGTTTACAAATGTATAATGTATGAATGATAAGCATGAACGAACTTAAAAGATAATAAATAAGAAGTTAGCCATTTAGCGATTGAACCAACGATGTACAGTATAATTTTAAGATTGTAATTTAATGTATTTTTAGAAAACTGTTTTCGTTAGTTGAGATATTATGTATGTACATTCCATTTTTAAAATTCCATCCATGCAAACACCTACATTTTTCACAGAAAGTACTTAACCAATCGTAGGGCAAGAACATAGTTTAGTAAATTCGCATTAGAGTTAAACAAATACATTTTAAATTGATCAAAATCGAAATTACGGCTGTTACACCACTTGCAAACTGAACAAAACGATTTTTAGAAAAATGTATAGTCCCAAGGAATTATTATCGAGTCAGTTTTTAATTGAATTATAATACCATTAATGGCTTTTTCCTTCATTTAATGGAAGTCAGTATTCTTGTTAGTGTTAATAATAATAACACAGAGGCCAGAATTTAAAATGAAATGTTATTACTCTGTACTTCAAAATATATTATTCGAACTTTAAATCAACTTAAACAAATATTAAATAATTAATTATTTTTAATTGAGTTTATTTTACGTGGGATGAATACATAAGAGGTTTTCTCAGGCGCGGCTTCGAACAATGGGAACAAATAGACCGAGATGGTTTGGGCATGTCACGGAAGAGAAGAAATTTGAAAACGTAAGAATTGTAATGAAAATATACGTAAGAGGGAACAGGTATACTGAAAAACTTAAAAATAAATGATCGGATGTGAACGACAATGATACGAGGACAGCTGGTGTGTGTGAGATCACCGAGGTGGGAGATCGGGTCAAGTGGAAGTTTAGACCGAGGGTGGCCGATCCTAAACAGTTGAAATGGGGGCGAAGGAGAAGGATAATCGAATTTATTGTACGCATTATTTAGGACCTAGGACATCTTGGCGAAACAAATTTATTTGGAGTAAATTTCCTAAATTGTATATTATGCAGCAATATCCTCCGTTCCCTAATTTCGGTTTCAACCTAATTTTTGGCGTGTTTATCATAAATTAAACTATGTAAATGTTGATAAATATGTAAATTTAAAATTGTTAAATTTGATTTTGACTATTATATACGCATAGGTTTTTATACAGTTCAACTAAACGTCTAAATGTTATTGAACGAACCAAAATCAGACAACATTATCTGTAATTATATTGTGTCCAATTTTTCGTCTTTTACGTTTTATAGTCTCCACAAAAAATACTATAAATCCAAAACTTAATAATAATATGGGTTCGGTCAAACGATATTGTAATAATGTTCATAGAAACATTAGACGTTTTTTTGGCGAATAACCAATTGTAACCCGGTTACTGTATTCTATAAACAAATTGTTTTGGTAATTTTGGTTATAACTTTTGATTATAGGTTACTGAAATATCATAACCAAATGAGATTAACAGTTATGATGTTTGGTTATTGATAAAGTAATGATTAGATATCTAGACAGAATTTTTTTTAATATCAATTAATATTATTTTTAATAACTATAAACATGTCATTTTCGCGAATCTATAAACCAAAATTATATAACCATAACTGATAATGAATATAACCAGGTTAATCACTAAAATACACGTCCTATAATTTATAAGATAATTTTATCTATACTTATTTGTTAATTTATCCACCATTTAATCAGAAAACACATTTCGAAACATGTCTTAGTGAACTTCGCTCCGAATTGTTTTTTGTTGCGCACAAACAAAAATGAAATAACTTTATATATCATATCTTTCCGGTTTCCTAACAATAATAGCGTGGAATACCCGTCCCCTGCAGTTAGGGTCGGATTTAAGCATAGGCTATATTAGGCTGCAGCCTATGGGCCCACACCACAACAGGGCCCTCACCACACAACCATTAAAAACAAAAAAATGCTCTGCTTAATAATTAAATAATATTATTATGCTGGAAATTTTTTTTCAATTTTCTAAAATTGATTTCAAAACACAAATATACTATACACATATATTAATGGGAATTTCCCATACGCCGCGTCAGTACGGGGATGTGTTTTAGAGGTGGCTTAAATCCTTTTTTAAGGAGAATATATTAGTTATAAGACCTTCCTCATAGACGCAGTGTTTAAAATTGGGATGAGGGCTGAAGGTCCATTCTGAACACTCTTTTACGATTTATATAGTAAGAGATAACCATAAAAAAAAAAATTGGGGGAGGGCTTAGTCCCTTAAATTTTGAGAAATATACAAAATGTATATTTTAGAGGAGTCTAGCTCCCTCTATTTGTGCATATGCCCTTCATATTTCCTAAAAAACCCTTCTGGTAGGGTCCACACCACAGATTAAGCCCATTAAAGGCCTACAAATCTAAACCCGGCCCTGCCTGCAGTATCGAATCTTTTTTTGTATTATTTTTACTCTAGTTAAATAAATTGTTTCGCCGAAAACGATTAGCCAAAATGACCAGATACCAATTGTTTATAATATAATAAATACGGCACGCAATTAACACACGCTCGGAGCATTATTATTGTATTTATTCAGATTTTTTTCATATTTACCTACTAGGGTTAATATTAAAGTTTTCGAAACATCACCGAGTAAAATATCGCAGGTACGGGTTTATCCGATAATAATTATAATATTATAATCTCGTCAATAATGTTATAACACTACACATTATAATATGCAATAATATATAATATGTATTTTTTTTTTTTATTGGTATACCAGTTATACGATTATTACGATAATCATTAATGAATAAAGGCGACGTCATTTATACACACACGTTTATAATTTATTAATTATAATTAACTAAAATCGCAAACAAAAATGTCAAGATTAAATTATTATACGAATACCTAACGTACCGTATTACGTTAATTCAACGGAACAATTTCTTTGATACGAGTATAATAACGATCGACTTTAAAGAATTTTAATCAAACATCATAGTTTTAGTAACATAATTAAAACAAAATTGTGAACAAGTATTTAACTTTGCTTTTTAATGTATATATTTCGTTTAAGGTTTGTGCGTATATATAATTTTATATACGAGAAAAAATACAACCGTACGGAATGGCTTTCCGGGATAAAAACATAATATTTAACAATCCGTTAATCGAAATAAAAAAAAAATTAATAATTAACATAGGTACCAATGATAAAAATGTACATGGCTAAAAATTATTACACCGAGTTGACGGTCTTAAAAGGTCAAAAATAGCAAATAATTTATCGGAAAAAAATTATCTTCAATAAGAAAATCTGCAAGAAACAAAAAAGTAACATAACTATCGGTAGGTAAACATCAAATTTTGATCGAATTACTTTCTTCTGCGATGTAACAACAACAAAAAACCTCACGGATATCTATTATGTAATACACATAATCACTTCGAGGTACGTATTTCAACCCATGTCGAAAACCGTTTTTTTTTTTTTTTTTTTTAAACGGTTAAAATATTATGATGACGTTTTAACCTACCGTTTAGTCACACGATTACTCGGAACAGAATGAAGAATACCGAAATACCGAACGATAATACGTTATAATAATATAGGTAGGTAATACACTTGCAATGTAATATGAAATCGGCTTATCCAATAAGTGTAGGTAACCAAAAAAATAACAACTGAAAAATGACTAACGTAGACGAAGTAACTTTCAAAATGTATCTCGAATCGCGGATATTTTACGGAAAAGTGACATTTGAATAATATTATTGTGACGTCGTGTGTATCTATACAAGTATAGTAGAACACGGCACACACCGACTGTATTATGATGCAAATTTCTATTTTTATTATAGGATGCGAAATTTCAAAACAATCTTAATTTAGATTATGGCAAAGAGTATTATTATTATTTTTAAACATCGCGAATACTTTCTTAACGCGTCTACCTACGTCCTACCTGAACAAAACGGAATTTCAGTTATTAAACAAAATGCAACCGCCCCGAACGTATTTTCTATTTTATTTGCCAAAAACGCGACACTTTTTTGTCTACCGATTGTGTTTGCGACATTTTATATATATATTTTTTTTTTTTTTTAGTTTTAGTTAAAAAATTCTTCACGCTAACAAACGCTTTCGAAAATCCTTTTCCCTACTACAATACACTGTACGTGTATGTACAATTTGAATTATGATAAATTAATAATAGGCACTATGACATATGTAGGCACAAGTTATGAATATAAAAAATTAAATACAAAACCGGTAGCTGTAGAATTATTATTATAAAAAGCAACACGTGTAACGAATAATATTATATTATACATACTTCCGTCCTCTGAAAATAATAAACTATAAATATTACAATACGAAAAACTGAATACAAATATTTTTTTGACCAAGTCATTTTAATTTGCCAATACTTAATAGAATTTCAATGATTCAGTTTTATTACATTTACCTACATTACATTATTATGTGACAAAAGTGACAAGAACATTCCAATAAGGCTAATGGTAAGTTCAACAAGAGTGTAGTTGGACTAGCTATGATGCATGGTTTGAAGCGTTGGGCGGCAGAAAGAAAAATATAATAGAGAAACAGTGTAGAAGAGATGAGAATGCTTAGGTGGATGAGCGAAGTAACAAGAGAGGACAGAATAAGAAATGAGTACATATAAGATACACTTAGGCGTGGCTTCGATTGTGGAAAAACGAGAGAAAATAGACTAGGGTGATTTGAGCATATCACAAAGTGAGAGGTATCAGAATCAATAAGAATTATAATGAAAATACACATACGAGAAAATAGAGAGAAGAAAAAACCGAAAAAGAAGTGTTTGAATGCGATTGAAAATGATATGAGGATGTTGATGAATAAAGGGACAATGTGTGGGATTGGGTCAAGTGGAAGTTAAGGACAAAGGTGACCAACCTACAATAGTTCGGATGAAGACAAAGGAGAAGAAGAATGATTTAGTTTTATTACACATAGTCAAATTATTTCTGAATTTTTACTATACATAGGTAGTGCTTATTATACTGTGATTTGTAAAATACATTAATAAAGTATAGTTTATTGCCCTGTATATTGTATTGTCATAATATATTAATGTGCTAAAGATGCTATTGTACATTGAATAATCATTTGATCAATTGTCAATTGAGAAAAAAAAATAGACTATTATAATAATAGAAAAAAAAAATTATTACTTACCATGTAAGTGAATAACCGAGTGAATTACATTTAAATACCATACAAATAAGTACAAGTTAATACATTTTAGTGATTAGCAGATTAATATATTATTATTAAAGAGTAGATAATTTTTTTTAAATATTTGTGTACACATTGTTTAGATAGGTACCCATTATATTTTGTAATGACTAGTTTTACATTATTTTTCCCAACCAGATTAAAGTAGTTTTAGATACCAAGGGCAATTAACAAAAATATTAATTTGAAATACAAATAGGTAAGTAAGGTAAAATAATTAGATACCTATCATTTAGTATACAATTATATAAGAAAATATTATTGCTAAAAATGAAAATCCATTCACATTAATATTTAATAAGTAACTTCTAGAAACTCAGAATAGAAGGGTAAATCATTTGAAACAATTATATCCTTTTGAATTTAATTCAATTTTGATAACAAACTTTATCTGCAAGAAAATGATTGTATATGTACAATGAATTTGAAAAATAAAATACTAGTAATATTAGTAAGGATATTAACATCTATTTTCATATAGGTATAAACACATCTGTTTAATTATACCGATAAATTAAAAACATCTTGTCTTTAAAAACTATAATAAAAACCCTAACCAGAAAATCTTAAAAAAAAATTGATTTTTATTTTTTAACTTAACAATAAATCATACAAATAATATAGGTGTGCTTTGTTCATTATATTGTGGGTATTGTACCTGTATTGTCAAACCAAGAGCATTGAAACATGTAACTCTAATAGAATACTCTTACTACTTAAAAAATAAAACATCAAGTTTAACAAAGAATAATTATTTAAAATAAATAATTATATTAATTACAAATACATCTTCAAATAAAGCAGTGTTTTGTTGCTAATATAGGTATTAAAAACTCTCAGTTCCGTGGTTTAATATAAAATATTCCATAAAAACAAAATTAATATTATGTAGGTTTGATCGTATATAGTAGACATTTATACGTAATCAAATACACAAAAATAAAATGATCATTAAAAGATGTTAATACAAATTATAAGATAAAAAGTAGATAAAGTATTATTGATAACCTATCTAATGTATTAGCTAGATATAACTATTACTTTTAATATAGAATATCAAGATAAAATAATTTTAGTTTATAATATTTAAGACTATCTTTGCATAGGCATTTCATTATTATTATATATATATATATATATATATATTAGGTAAAACTATATATTAAAATTTGTTGGCACCTAAATATTTAACTATTTGTACTTCAGTACTAGCTTAGATATAAAGAATGATAATATAATACGGTAGGTAAAAAAATAACTTGTCTTAATAAAAGTTAGACAAAAACGATTAAATATAATACAATAGAAACGTCGATCCAATTTGTTTGGAAAATTATTCTTCATTTATGTCCACAGTTGGACAACCTTAAATTTTAAGCATTTAAAAGAAAAATTGTGAAAAAGAGATACATCTACCTAGCTATGAATATAGATCTAATTAAAATAATAACGTATTTGAGGTATGTGACAACAGCTTTTCTTCTTATTAATTAATTTTACAAACAAAAAAAAATCAGCTGTCAGAGCAGGTTTTATATTGAAATAGGTACTATAAATTACCTGAAGCAATATCTATCAAGGACATGGTACCTAGGTACCTATAAAACTATATAACTAGTGATTGTATATAATAATATAATGGTAGATACCTACATAGGTATATAATTAATTTACTACCTACCTATCTCAACTAAAAATGTTAAAATTGATTACCTAACTGTTAAACTTGAATTTTTAACCAAAAATTATATAAGTACCTTAACACAAATTGTGAGAGTTAAAGCTATTCTTATAGTAATAAACATTTGTCATTTAATATTAAAAATTCCCTACTAATATAATAATTTATCCCTGAATTTATTTATGGTGAGCGCACAAAATAATATAAATTTTCATTATTAAAGAACATAAAGAAACCTTAAATTGCTTATATTTTAATTTACCTATAGCACAGAGGGTCAAATGGGGGGAAGATTAGGGGGTTTATACACCCATGACATTTTCTCCTTCAATATTTGTAGGTATTCCTACATATTTATACAAAAACTTAATGTTAATTATCGATTAATAATAAATGTTAAAAAAAATGTACTTAAAAAAAATATCACCCTCTCCATGACAACCATTTGACCGCCACTGCTTAATAAGTAACCAAGTGGCCAGGCAGGTGCATTCAATAATTTAAAAACGTTTTCCGATGTTCTCTTATACAAAATAGGTATACATACTTGATACAACAAATATGATTTAAACAAACGATAACAACCACTGCCACAAAATATAGAAAATTAATGTTCACTGAATAATCCAAAGAATCTGTAGATTTATTAGGTACTATAGACATGTACAAAATACGTGTAATAAAATAATAAATAATTTTATTAGAGAACATTTCTTATTTGAATTAAATAAAAGTAGGTTATTTATACAAACATCTTAATTATAATTAAATAGAGTGAAAATACATTTTGAATCTAAAACTAAATTGTATTTTTACAGAATCCATTATGTTTTGCAGTAAAATCAAATCAAACCGAATAATAATATAATCATAATGCAAATTATGTTACATGTGTAGGAAATTTTTTTTTTTTTTTTAACGTAATATAGGTAGGTACATAGGTTGTAATATTAAATGTGGTGCATTACAAATAATGTGCTAACATATTAAAAATTGTGTATAAAATCGAATTGCGACTGCCTGCACAATAATTAATACTAATTATTATAACCGTTATTGATTTGACAATAATGAATCAGGTATAGGTATTATAATATTGTGTTGACCAACGGTTAGGTATTAATCCACTAAATGTATAGGTACTCGGCTGTGCAAAAAAAAAAACAAAAAACAAAAAACAAAACAAAAATACAAATTTAAACATGAAATACATTAAACACGCGAACACGTGTTTACGAGATAATATTCTTTTGTAGCTGCATGCAGGAAATTAAACAAGTGATTATATTATTAAAACGTATTCCAATGCCACCGCGGTTTGTTTTTTATTTTTACGTCCAAGTGTATTATCGTTTTTTTTTTTTTTTAGTCCTTCGACCGCCGTTAATAACTTTTCCAAGTATTAATCCATACCAAGATTATAATAGCCATGTGGTATGTACCAATAATAGAACCAATGTGAAAAGCGTACCGAATAACGAACGATGTACTTACCGAGCGAACTGGGACAAACAACGGTGAACTGTCTCGGTGGGTTTTTTTTTTTTTTTTCTGTAAAGGGGTAGAATTCGATAGGCGCGTTCGACTTTATATTCCGACAGAAAATTCCGATCGCACTAAATATTACGGCGGGTACATAAAATATATTATTATTATTATTTACTATTATTTAACATCTATATATATACACGTAATGGCCAATAGGTAAAGTCGAAGGGAAAAAAAGAATGACACGAAACCGAACAAACGTAATGATGTTCGACCGACTGGTGAGTCGCGACTGGTGAGTGGACGGAGTGGACTGGCGAGCCGATGATCCCGGCATCCCGTAGACGACGACCGTACATGTAGAGGGGGGAAGAGGGTAAAATTGACAAAACGTAATTCGCCGTGTGATGATAATAATAATAATAATAATAATATACAACGACGATACGTTATTATTATCCCCGCCGCGACCGGCCGGAACGTAAAGACGATTTTCGCTTTTATAATTTGTCGGCTGGGAAACGGTACCTTTTTACCATAACCCACCGTCTACCAGCTACTGCTACCGGGCGGATTCACCGTTCAAACGACCGAATTGTTGCAGTTTCGGTAATAATAACAGGTGCTGGCTAGCATTAAAATGAATAAAATAACGACAAGTAAATTGACCGTCGAATGAAAAACGTCCGACGTTGGAAACCCCCGCAGACTAGGAGTCGCCGTCCTCCGTGACTCGTCGAAACTCGCTGCCAACTTCATTGCGGTGCCCGGTTATCACGAAATTGTCGTACCACCCGACAATATGTATCAGCTGATATTTGTTTGCTTACGTTTTAATGATAAACCCTACGGAAAGAAACTTCGATCGTTTCATTGTATTGCTGACATTCGGTTTTGTGTTTGTCAGCAGTATTCGTAACCGTGTATCGCTGCCTGCCGCCGTGCCAGCTGCGGGTGCTCGTTCCACGTACGAAGTCTGTCAGTTTTTGCATTCCGGGTGTCAATATTACTTTCGTCGTTCGTTTCCCATGAACATTTCCGTTTCTATAACGTTCGGCTGACCGATAGCCACCTGACACGCTGTAACCGTCAGACGTTACACGGAACCGATCGAAACTCGTGTACCTAGGTATTTCCGTGTACTTTTGGCCACGGTTCTGTAAGTAACATGAAGATGAGTGACAGCATGCACAATTTAAACGACTACATCGAACATTACAAAAGACACATCGGCAAAGCCACCGAAACCAACGACAATGAGAAGGTACTGTATACCTGTCGAATTCCGATCGAAGAAATAGTTACGTTTACTTATTTAGAAATCGTCCAATATGGAGTATGCGGATATCGTTTCGATTCCTTGCACTAGTCCCACTTAGGTACTTGTTTCTCGTTTCGAAAATGAAAAGTCTATTCGTTGTCCTAAATCAACGGGATTCGTTTTCCAATACATATCTTACTCTATACAACTTGATTGTACGATTATTTCATTTTCGATATGCACAGTACATATTTTTTTTGTATACATCGCATCGTTTTTACCACAATAAACATCTGTTGGATGCCTACCTTTAAATATGTATAGCTGTATTAGGTAACTGTGTTTTTATAAGTGTATGCTTAATTTTTTTTTTTTTTTCTGTTGATACAAAAACTATAATGTGAAGTATCTTCATAAAAAAAATCACAATTTCAATAGAAATCAAATGGCCTACTTTTATAATAAAGAATTATTATTTAAGGAATATTGTTTAGGCGTTCTAGGTAGTAAGTAGTAACTAATAAAATAAGGTCATACCAATATAATACCTACATGTAGTAGTTACCCACTAATGCATTGTCAGTAAACTTAAAAAAAAATGGGTTTTGATTAAACTAAATATAATAGCAGCATAATTATATTATTATTATTAATTGAACAAATTACCTATATGTAAGTAGGTAGGTATGTTAGTTTAAATTTATGAACTATACATATAAATTAAGTACCTACTGATACCTATATAATGTTTAGTGTGATGGTCTTCTATAGAACTGTCTATCGATTACAATAAATTTGCAGAAACTGATAGTGTCACCTTAATTAAAAAAGTAACTTAATGATTTAAAAATTCATTATTTTTAAGTTTAAATTTAATCAAGAATTATATGTTAAGTGGTTTTTTAAATTATTTTTGATATTACTTGACCACTTTTTTTCGTACATATTGATGTAGGCATGCGCTAAGATTGACAATGTTTTTTTTATACTAGGTAGGTAAGTCATTTTTTACACTTATTGCATTATGATGACGGTATGTGCAAAAAATCAATTTTAGTGTTGTACATAGTATATTAATAGGTCTATATTTTATTACGTCAAAATTTAGTATTCAGATTTTCACTTTAAAGTACACACTAGCTCGAAAGTAAATATGTTCACTAATTCGGAACTGTGTCATGGAGTAAATTTTACTTAATGCTCATAAGTTATAGCAGATTAAAGTCAGAACTTAATATTTTAACAACTTTCTATTAGTAAAATGAGTTTGCAAGTACAGTTTAATCTCTCAAATCCAGACTTGAAGGGACTACACCCTGTCTGGATTAAACATAATCGGGTTTAAAGCATAAGTAAAAAAATATTAAATATGTAAATCTTTGAAATTGAAATTTTAATGAAAAATGACTTATTCAGTCTCAATACTACAATATAGGATTACTTTTTTAAGATGGGAATTAATGTAGTATAAAAAAAAACATATTGATTGAAATTCATAGTTTATTTAATGTATTAGTGATTATTGTTATTACTACTTAAAATTACGGTACTTTTCCGTTATCCCGACTACCTCTGGACGCCGCGAGTACCGCTCAGTTACTGGGGTCCATACTCAGCATATTGAACGACTTTGGGACTCCGCTAAATGGAGAAACAAAAAGCATGGGGGAACCGTATGGAGTTTATCTGAAAACGAAACATCTAAGGAGATCCATAATATATTATTGAAAAATATTTCTTAAAAATCGAAATAGAATTTTAGACGTTTTATTTGAATTGTGATAATTTTTGTAATAACTGATAATAAACGTTGTACTCTATTAAATTATATTAAACTATAAAGTTGGCTTATAGTCGTGGCATCCGGAATAGAAGTCGAGATAACGGAATTGAGATTCTCGGTGTCGGAATCTGTATAACAGAGAAGTACCAAAATTACATAATTACTGTAATACTGTTGCATATTATGTAATTTAAGAAAAAAAACAGTTTGATGTCCGTTCGGATTAACCAAATATCAAAACTAGCGGGACTATTGTATTGCCGACAATACATAATGCACAACGTATGATTATTAATTATTGTGTAACAAACCTTTTTCAAGTAAAGATATATTTTAACCCCATAATAATAATAATTGTACTTAAACACATTTAAAAGGTGCAAATCACACATATATCATTAAACTCAAATAATAAAAGTAAAGGTGTAGGAGTAATGGTACTAGCTGATTATTAAATTTTAAATACAAAATATCTCTTTACTGATACACATAAGTACCTAAGTCATAACAGACATCCGGTGTGTGTACAAGTGGGGTTTTTAGGGATTCAACCACTCTCAGAAATATCATGAAAATGATGATGAAAGTAAATTTTTAATATAGTCTCAAAAGTGGTTTCTATCAATGTGGAAGATAAATACAATTTCGGTTTTATTTTAATTTTATTACTAGTTAGTAGGTATATTTTAATATTGTTGTTATTTTTAATTGCTTGTGGTTTTCCTACTTTTAGAAAATTATAACTAGTACGGCTATATTGCATAGTCCACATTATCATGACATTAATATGAATTACGTTATCATTTAAGCTGTGTTCACAAAAAAAATATTAAATGGTATAATTTAATAATATTGCCTTTTTAAATGAAAAGTAAATAATCTTGCGACTGAAAGTATGTAAAGTTCTTTGTTATAAGAGTATGAAAGTGTCCAACTTTACCCCCCTCCCCACCCCTCCGAAATATTTGTTTGGAAATGCACCTGACCGAAAATGTGCTCTCTATTAGATTATAATATTATTATGTATGCCTATATTATAATAAAAATTATCAACATTAAAAGAAATTTAGTTTTAT